ACTTCATTCTGCCAATCACCCTGAGTTGATCTTGGTTACAGCTAATAGCTTTAAAGATTGCTATGCCCACTCTTGTCTCTGGTGCAAGTAAATCTGTGGATTTACTGACATAAGGCAGAAGGCAGTTAGCAAGTTTGCAGTCGGGGTTAGATGCGCTAACAGGCAGGGCTGCTGTTCAGAGGGACCTCAACAGGCTGGAGAAATGAGCTGGCAGAAACCTTACGAAGTAAGGGCAAATGTGAGTGCTGCATCTGGAGCAGCATAGCCCTGTGTGACACTGGGAGCTAGAGAGCAGCTCTGCAAGAAACACCCTGGGAAGAGGTGGAAAGAACATACTCAGTCCAAAGAAAAGAACGGGGTGGCAGGCATCTTACTGCTGTCTCGGCTACCTTCCGGGGGTAGAAAGGGTGAACCCAGATTCTTTGTACTCTCTGTATGGGGACAAGATAACAGGCAATGAACAGAATTGCAGCAAGGGAAATTCTCACTAGGTATTTTCACCAAAAAAATCCTCCATACTGTGAGGTTTCTCAAGCACTGGAACAGATTGCATCCCATCATTGGAGAGATTCAAAACTGATCAAGGCCATGACACTGTTGGCCCTGCTTTGAAGCAGGGGGCTTGGGATGGACCAGAGCTCCCTTCCAATCTATATTATTCAATGATTCAAAGACTCTTTAGGACTCAAAGTTTCAGATCGTTTTATCTGAAAAAGTGTAACGGAAGTTCATAGGTTGTGAATTCCTTATGTGCAGTCAGTGACCTCTGTATTTGAGGCTGCCAGCTTTTAAGAGAGCTTGATCTTGTTCTTGAAAACATGAAAAGTTCCAGCTTGCACTGCTGTAACTAAATAAAGCTGCCTTCTTACAGGGTTCACACCACTTTTAGCACTTTGGATTAATTATAGGGCTATTACCCTAATGGAAGCAGCCAGAGTAGGTAATTGAAGACATCTTGAAGTAAATTAGATAAATGGTAGTAGAAGCAGCTTTGTGATTTAAAGCTCAGAGGAAAACCACTTTTAAAATCCAAGTGTAAAACTCCCCCAAATACAGTGACATTTACTGTACGTTTTTATTGACCAAACTCTTTTTTACGAAAGCTTAGAAGAAAAAATTGTGAATCCTATTTCAGCAAACACCCCCATTCTTTATTTCTTAGAATGAGTCTGCTGTATTCTTACATGATTTTTGTTGAATTTAAAGAATCCATGCTAAATTCTTTTTAACTAAGCACTTAATGCCTGAAATATTTTTAGGAGAAATTATCAACTCGTGTCACTAAAAAGCCATGCTGCAGAACTTCAGTTTTGTGTCACAGAGTTGGTGCCTTTGCACATTTTTCTAGTACCAAAGTTCTTTGAAATGTGGAAATATTTTAATTTAATCCATTCTTACATGTTTCTGGTTCCCATGGTTGGTAAAAAAATCAATACATTTTTAAATCTTTTTTCAAGAAACACAGGTCTGCAGATCCTCATTTAATAAAAGTTGGAAACCTGCAGAAAGCCATATATCAGGCGTGCTTTAAAATTATTAAATCGTGACTGGATTGCAAGAGATCTAGGAATTGCTGTCAATTTCAGTAGAATGCTTTTCTTAACCACCATTGATGTAGTTTAATTTTCAATTTCTCCAGCTATTGTATTCTTTTAGATCTTCTTAATTCCAAAGTAGAGTCAAATGTTAATTATATCCCTAGCGCTGTCCCTGTTTATTTTAACCACAACCAAAGAGAATATTTCACAGCTGGTAATTCAGCTAGATTGTGTGTAACTGAATATCAAGGTCAGTTCATGCCCTGCTTCTCTGTGATGTTCTCTCCTCTCTCTTTCTTTTCTGTGGACATCAGAAATAATGAGTAATGCCCTGAGATTTAGTACAGTGATGGCTTGTAGTACAGCATCACAGATTCACTGGGTTTTATTTTGCAGTTGCTGGCTTTAATAATAAAAGGGGATGTTATCATGATGAGGTTTAAAGGCTTTAAAATCCTCATTTGTCTCATATCCAGAAACATAACCAGCTTCTTAAATATATTATTGCTGATCAAATTTATAGTTCTTTGTTATAACACTTTTGGCCCTTGAGACTAACTAATCAAGTCTGAAATGCATGTGCTTAATTTTGGTGAGCCAGAGTGATGCGAAATACATAATTAGCCACTTTGTTGAAGTATGCAGTTTATGGTTCAGTGAGTAATTTTCTGGTCAGTGAATCACAACCTTATGTCTCTTTTTTGTATTTAAACACTTCAGATTATGATAGTTCTTGTATTTAAAGCCATTCTGGGCGTGAAGATCTAATTCATGCTTAGCATTTTAATAACTGCCTCTGCTTTACAGTTTTCTAAGAAATATTTATTCATCTCTCTTTAAATTATAAATTTATAATTTATGTCTTTAGATATGAGTTAATTATATGCAGCATAGTGTTCTTAAAGTCATGGAATGTAACATGACAAAATGTTTTATTTAGTTTGTGAAAACTGTAATTGTTGACAATGCAGTATACCATTTTACAAATTTACAATTCTTTATCTAGAATTGACATCAATTGTAGATTGAATGCTTCTAAATATTTTCAGACACTTTGGAAATATCTTACTTTAAAGCAGTAAATTGTAGGAAAACAAAACATTCCTTGCGTATTTCTATTTTGGAAAACATTTGCTTTAAACTTTGTCATTGGTTTGAGGCTCTTATTTGTGTATCATCTAATAGCTTCAGGTATCATAGAGGAACTTCATTTTGACATATGATTCAAGCCTTGAAAATCACATCACTATAAACTGTGAGTAGCTTTGTCGTGAGAAGAAAAATTCAATTAATAAGCGTTTACATTTTTGTGTCCTACCTAAGCTTGTCTGCCTGAAAATATTACTGCATTACAGCCTAATGTGTCAAAACCACCTCTAAATAATCAGGAGTTACCAGACTTCAGATGCATTACAGATTGTCTGTTCTAGGTTTTCAGTGTACAAAAATGATTGTATGAAGTATTTCAAGTGTCTTATTTTCCAAGAGAGGTGAATTATTAGGCAGAGGGCAGGAGAGAATACGATATTTGCATCACTTTGGGTGGTTTCATAATTTACTACATTGGGGATCTCTCTTGTGTTTACAGATGTAATGCTTTCTCTACTGTGTATAACTAATACTCACACATAAGGTAGCTTAAAATGTTTGTTTAAAATAGAAGTGGGATTTTTTTCATATTTTCTTAATTTGTTTTTACATTAGAGGAGACAAATATGTAGCAAATATGGGTTGGATCCTTTCTTACTTCGTGTACTAATATCAAAAGTTTATTGTTCCTCCCAATTGAGACTGAAAACATGGCTGGTTTAGTCTTTGTGATACTTGGCTCTAAAATTAAAATTCAGAGGAAACAGGATCCGACTATGAGTCAGTATGCAGAACAGATGAAGTATAGGGGCCATGAAGAAACGTTCTTTTTCTTTCAGCCCAAGGTCTTTATCATTAATGAGAACCAATGTCATATTTTGTAATAGCAGGATATGAGTGCCAGACTGTGATCTGTTTTGATCAGGATTAAAATGCTGATGTTATTTCCTTGATTTTGTTCTAGTTTCTGCTGTATTTTCTATAAATGTTTTTAAACTAAGACACTTTCTTGCTATTTATTTTGAGAACACCTTGTGTCATTATTTCAAATGGACTCACTCATTCTCAGCTTTCTTATCCTTTTGGAAGTAATTACTCACTTGGATATTTTGATGATGTTGAAATAATCTCCAAATTGTATTTGTTGCTGTAGTGCCTGATTTCATAGAGTCTGACAAATTGTTTGGCATAGGAAATGGACTCGGGATCATCCACTCATGAGAAGAGCTGACTTACACATGGATGCCAAGTCCCAAATGACTTTAACAGTGATAGTCAGTAATAATGAAAATAATGTTCTTACATGGGATATAATGCACATTTCTAAATTAAATTCATCATTTGAGCCAAATGTTGTGGAAACAAGTAATTTACCATATGCAGTATCTCATTGTCACCTGATTGTGCTTTTCAGCTCTGCATAATATTTTTTCACCTGTAATTACCTAATTGTCTTGCTAGACTGCCAAGAAATTATTCCTTCATCTTGACATCTTTAAATTGTGCTTTTGTTCAGTAGTTTACAGTGTCTTAGTACTGTATAATGGGTGTTTATCATTAATACTACAGATAGCAAAGTATCTAATTATGGCCACTGTGCTGAAAAACTGTTACAATCCAAGCCAATTCTGAATTTCAGTTGCTGAAAGCAGGATTGCAAAGCAGTCTTGTAAGTCTCAACCAAGAAAGAGGTGCTTCCCCTGTCTTTTGTTAAGCCAAAGAGATGTGCTCCCAGTGTTCAGCAATAGCTAACAGTGGAGAAGAACGCTCCTTAGCAACAGAAGTTCATGGAATAAAAGGAAGATTTAAATGCAGCTTAAAATTAGGGAAATGGTGTCTGTCGGATTTAAAAATGTGGAAGGAGATTCTCTGTTACAAACAGTAGGAAGGCAAATATAAAAGCTCAGAAATATCTTCTAAGTCAAGGTGGGGAAGGAAGTTGCTCTGGTGCATGTTCCTTACCCTACGAGCTGCCAGAAACGTATCTGTGCTATTACTGTGCATCTGGTCCTCTGCAGGCCTCTGGGAAATACATTAAAGGGAATGGAAGTGATGATACATTTTTTTGTAAATTGCCCTGCTTGTGGTCTGTGTCCATAAAGTTCAAACTCAGAGAACCTTTTTTATTGGAATTTGGAGTGAAGGCTTTAGTGGTAACTTCTTTTTTCCCCCTCCTGTACTGTCATGGTCTGGTAACTCCTAGTCTTGCACACAGTGCCCTTCTGGCAAATGTCATCCACAGAACACATGTGAAGCAATCACAGCCACGTATCTGTGGAGGAAAAGTCCACCCTCTATAGAAGACACAGCTAAAAATCTAGAACTTTGGTGAAACTATAGGAGTAATATTTTTTTCACTAATGTTTTGTATAGGTTTGTAATTGGACGAGAAAAACCAGGACAAGTGAGTGAGGTTGCGCAGCTGATTAGCCAAACTCTAGAACAAGAACGCCGCCAGAGAGAGCTGCTGGAGCAGCATTATGCACAGTACGATGCAGATGATGATGAGGTAAGAGACTGTCTAGATTTTCACTGTTCCATGGTTTTTAATGTTCTGTTTTCTATTCCTAATTCCTTCTTTTTAATTGTCACTCAGAGGTCAGCTACTGGCCCTCTCCATTACCTCTGATGATGATTTTTACAGATTTTGATGATGAATCTTATTTGAAGAACAAAGTTACTGAAAAACTTTTCAGCATGGATTTAAAATTTTTGTTTTGTTCCAGAAGAGCAAATATCAAATTTGTCGATGCTTCTGTAATGATTGCTCTTCGTCTGAAGGCATATGATTCTCTGAAATAAGGGAATAAATTTGGTTTGCTTGTGCACTGAAACATTAGGGTTTTTGTGAAAACTGGTAAAAGTCGCCTTCTAACTTTTAGGGGATTGAGGAAGTTTTAGACCTTTTTTTTTTTCCTGGAATGTTTGATGTTCTTCTTAATTCAGAACATTAATTCCAAAATTAATTAATTCATGCAGATAATTTCAGGTAAGACCCCTCCTTCCACACACTGCTTTTTGGTTTTCTGTGAACAGATATTCCACAGGACAGAGAATTGATCTACTTTGTCTGAAGCATATATTGATGTTTGCAATTAGTGCCTGATGTCCCAAAACAAAGGTTTTGAAACTGTCAACTTTATACAGTAAATTATCTGTAATTTCTTCCCATTATCTTAAAATTTCCATTATGCCTAAATATTAGGCAATTATCTTTCCAAGATACTTGGAAAAATTAATGAGAGAGCTTTTTCAGAGACTACTGTCTGTGTTACTGCCTAGATTAGCTGCTGGGCTAAGGTAAAAGGCAGTTGTAACAAACCACTTCCACATATCCCAAGCATGCCACCTTCATTTCACATTATCTTGAATAATACTATTTGAAATTACAAACTCCATCTATTAGTGTGTTTCCGTCCTGGGCCAGATTTTTTATTTTATTTATTGGAAGGAGGCAATAGAGAAGGGGAGATAGAGAATTCATGCTATGCATTTATTTCAGCTTAGTTTTCCTTTAGGTACTAAATGCTTCTAAACAGTGAAACAGAGAAAAAAACCCCTCTGAGATAAAATTAGGATACACTTGGATTTTGAAACACACCGTTAAACTAGCAATAGTTCAGAAAAATCACAGGTGTCCCAGAAGACATGTCAAAATCCTGTCTAGCCCCAGTGATGCTTTCATTTACTTTAATTTCCACTGATAATGAAAATAAAAATACTTTAATATGTTTCAGAATGATTCCTGTCATAAGTGCATATTTAACTCATATAAATAAAAGTTGTACTCATCTGTTTGAGGATCCGTATGTATGTGTGCCTGTGCAAGACCATGAAGGCTAGAAAATCCATATCCTCTCTGTTTCCTCCTCAAACTATAGAAACATGCAAGTCTTCTAACTTCTCTTTAGTCTAGAATTAAAATTCAAGATCTTGACTAAATTCCAAAAGGAACTCTATCATCACCTCAAAAACAAACCAGAGACAACTCTAGCCTTTGGAACAAGAGACTTGTCATAACTCATCACAGCATGATGTAGACATTCAGGTTTGAAGTCCTGTGATATCATTTTATGGTAAACATCATCTGATAGCTTTCACATTGACAGGAGAGTTGTGTCCTAACTGCCTGACATTCAACTCCTCACTGTATACTCGCACGTAGAGGGATGTGCAGCTGAAGGCAAACTATGTGAGTAATTGATGCATTACACCTTTTACCTAGAGGATGCATCCACCTGCAAAAAATCTCAAAGGTTTGTGTTGCTGACTTTCATGCAGCACACAGATGTCGTAACTTAAGATCTGGTAATAACGAAAATATTGTTAAAAGCATATAGATCGATACTGATCCTGGTGGTACCTCAGCCTTCAGTAGGGATGGTTGCTGTGCTGGTGCTGACAGTGACATTTTTGTACTCATGACCGTGCAAGTGTTTCTCAGCACAGTAGTGAAAGATGACGGGGATGAGTAGGTACCAGATGTTTTTTTGTGATGTGTATTGTTGTCCTTGCAATTCAGTGGTTACAAACCCTTAAGCCAAGTTCACTGCATACATTTTTAACACAAAAATTACTAAATGCACAAAGTGTTTTCTGTTGGTAATGCCTTTGGATGCTAGAGAGAAAACAAGATAGGGCAAGTAATTAACAGAGTCAAAGGCATGTTTTCTTACTGTACCACTACACTAAGGATGATGACCACCTCTGTGACCATGATGTGATTTTTGACCATTAGTGTTTGCAGTGCAAACTTTCATGCAGTATGTAAGGAAAGGAGGAAGAACAAAGGAAAAGACATCTACCAGGGAAGATCCAGAATATCGTCAGAAATCCCTTTTGGAAGAAGTAATTTGGCTTCAGAAATAATGCAGTACTACATTGGAATCACTGAAACTCATATCTGTTTCCTACTTGATGCCATTTCTGTATTTGGGAGAGAGGTGGTAAACTTATTCTCAGAATAGATGGCTGGGGTGTAGTTACTAGAGTATGCAATGAGGCGTGTTCCCTTTCTTAGTTAACAGACTTAACAATAGATTTTATTAGGAACCTGCAGCAACCCTGAATATTTTAAATTTTGTTGTCACCTGACTGTGCCATCCAAGTAAACTCACATAACTTGCACCATTCCCAGGCAGTTGACACAATGGAAGGTGTGATCTAATGCACATTAGGCACAGTTCAAAGACATTTTTGGTCACCACAAACACTTCTACTCCACTTACTGTCAAATGCAAGCATTACTACTTTGAGCTCACCTTCCTCTGTGAGGGCAAACATGTCGGGGTTTATGTTGCTATATGCCAGACACCACTGCCAGCCCTTTACTTTTTGGCTCTGGTAAGCAGGGCATATTTTGGGCAAGAAAAATCTCAATTTACACTGTCTGAATGAATATCCACAAATGTACAAAACAAGCTACCCTTCTGAGTCCATTTCCTCAAAGTGATAGTGATTCTGACTGCATGAAGTTCAGGAATATTTGGATTGCCAGTGCGAGGAGTTTCGTGCTGAGGTGGCACAGAATTATACAGCAGTTGCTCAGTATCAAACTGTCCTATTCATTTTCATACAGTTCTTAAAATATGGCAACATGGATCTCTAGCTACAATGCTGCATAAACAAACAAGAAAATGATCTTTATTCAACCCTCCATCGAGGCTGTCGAATTCTGAGCCTCAGAAAGTTACCACAAAGACAGCAGTAACATATCAGGTTTCCGGAGCAGGAAATCAGCGATCTGTGTTTGAGTCCTGGACATGACTGTGTTTGGTAGAGCTGGTCAAGTCACAGGAAGAGAGTGTCTGCCAGGCATGTGCAGGTCCTGGTGTTTCATCTTCCTGGGCCACCTGCTGGCTGGATTTCCTCTGTTTTGAAACTCAGGGCAGTCTTCATCACAGCCCAGACAGCAATCTCACTGTTTTATAAGGATCCAAGTTCTTTAAAATAACAGCATTATTGAGACAATTTTGACTTCTCCCAGCAAGTGTGCACTAGACTTGAGTCAGATGCTAAATGAAAGACTCTTGTTAGCCTGCTGTAACTTCATTCCATTGCCTTGTAGGAATGTTACATGACAGTTGTTTGTTGGGGAAAATTCACAGTAATACACATAGTGTTTTCAAAAGATACATCTTTTACTATATAAGTGATCCTGAAAGAAACATCATTCACTATATAAATGCCCTGTATCCCTGCACTTCAGAATCTGCTGTTATCATGGGCTGCAGGTTGTCGCAGTGTTGCAGGATGCTCTCAGGTGCTCCTTCATTTGAGTCTTTGCATGGAAACACAAGAACCTTGTGCAGAACTGACAAATGGTAAAAGAGGAGGGATGCCCGCAATGGAGTCCATGCAGAGACAAGCAGCTCACAATTTGTTGTTAAGCTCCCATGAGCCAAGCAAAGCCGGTGGTAGCAGTTATTTCTCAAGCACTACTTACGGTAGGCAGCGTTGGCATTTCCCAATGAGCCTGTGCTAACTACAATAAAGCTGGGGAAGTATGTTGTTTCAGGTGCTGCCGCTAGATAGCCTGCTGCAGAGTTTACTCAGCACCAGTCCATCTAGCTTCCTAAAATCCCACATCCTTTTAATTTGTTGTATCCTATCAGAAGACAAAACTCAAAGGCTTTGAAGTAGGCCCTGTCTTTGTATTTCCTACTGAGTGTGTTAAGTACTACCTGAATCTGTATACTTGACTAAAACTTTTTGACTTCCCTGTGTTAACACAGAGTTCTGGGCACATTTTAGTCAAATTCTGCCATTTCTTGGAATTCTGACTTGAACATAGTATTGTCTTCTTCATGTTCTACAATGAATGGCAAAAGTCACATAAAGCAGATGAGCTGTTCCCCTGAAGGCTGCATATGGTGATGCAGGATGTGAAATTAATAATGTATTGCATAATTCTATTCACTCTTTGGCTATAGACAAGTGACGTTTTAATGTATTTTAATATTGCCAGTAGTAATTTGAATATTTTTTTCGTTTATAATTCTCATTTATAAGGACATTCTGAGATCAAAACAACATTAGAAAGATTGAAGAAAATCTTGACACACACAAAAGGAAAAATGTTGCAGTGTGCTTGAATGTCTAACACCCAAAGAATACATTAGTTAAACAAGATCTTTCAGAGAGTATGGTTTTTCCAACATCATTAATATGAAACACTCCTGTAAAAGCGATGATTGAGCTATATCATTATATTTTTTTTCGCTCTTTAGAAAGAAGTAAGGATAAAACATCAAAAAAACCAGAGTTGGGCTTGAGTTATTTTTATAGTTCTTCAAATGATTTTCTCTGGTTATGGGAGAATTTCAGCACAAAAAAAAAAGATTTAGCTTGATACAGCCTTTGTTACAGTGATTTGGGGAAGGTCTGTCTCCATTATCCTGGCTGGTGCTGCTGCTTCTTTCAGCTTGGGAGTCTTAGGCCCATTTCAAGAATTTACAAGGCAGTTAAACAACGCAAGTAACACATTTTCCCTATTAAAGTGGGAAATTGCAGTTCATGTTTATAAAGATAATTTCATGCTATTAGCTGTGATAGTGTATAGCAAAATTGAATGGCTAGTATCGGAAGCTGTTCCTGTGGATGGGATAAGCTAGAGCCGTAGGTGCTACTGAAATGAGAAACAGGTCTTTAGCATGGATGGATTTTGCTCACCGATACAGACTGAAGAGTCCAAGATTTTCCTTCAAGAACATGCAAGTTTTCATTGACTATTAACTAAAAAAATATTGTTGTTGTCAGCTAAGAATACAAAATGTGTTGCAAAGAACCTCAAGCAGCTACGATAACAACTGTTACCTTACAAGGCTTTGTTATTTTGAAGTAAAATAACTTTCGTCTGTGCCTTGTGCTTCTTGTAAAACACTGAATTTCCCATTCTAGTTACTGGCATGGGGTGTGAACAACCTTCTAGTAGTTTCATGTGAAACAAAAGTCAACAGGGATAATTTTTTTCAGGGAAAGTATGTTTCATGTAGTTTATGACATACATTTCCTTAAAGCGCACATTGGTTCTTTTGAATCTGTAATTTCTTTTTCATGTGATTATAAGGTTGGATCCCTTTCTTTTGAACACAAATGCAAAAGTCCCGTTTATTTCTGTGTTCTGTGATGTATTTGTGTCTTCCTGCTTGTTGTTTACCTGAGCAAACTGCAGTGCTTTGCTCTGATGACTACTTTTTGCATTAATTGAGGCAAAAATGGCTATGCACATTGACACTCATTTGTACCAATTTGAAGCAGGATTTTCCTTTGTGTTCATTTTAAGCTGCCAGCTGTCCCTCTTCAAATACTGTGGTTCCTGAGGCCAGTAGAATATTGCATGCTCTTGAATTTTTCCTCAGTGTAACTTAGCCCTTCATATGTGTTCATTTTTCTTTTTGTATGAGGTACTTATTTTTAGTTTAAGTCTCTGGAGGAATCAGTTTTAACTAAACTCACGTGGTTTATTCTTTTACCAAAGTTGATAAATATAATTACGATTTTGCATTAAATTAATATATTCCTTTAAAATGTACAAGTGGATGAGCCAGATCTGTTTTTTTAAATAAACTGGGCATGAATTTGTTAGTTAACAGTCTGATTTCTGCCTCCTCTTTGCATGCTTCAGAGATTTCCTTGCCACTGCTGATGGACCTGCCAAGAATTTTTTTCATGTAGAAATGATAGTTCTATATCACCTTATAGATTTTTCAGGGATAATGACTGCAAAATTGACAGTACATGGATTATGTTAGTATTTTGTCCCCACAATAATTCATTTCTTTGAAATCTTGCTGGGATTTTAGATGGTGTGTGAAGGTAGTGTTACATGCTCCTGGAAAAAGCCAGGAGAGGCAGCAGCCTAATTTTCTGTTTAGACAGTAACTGCACGTGGCCATGGGGAATCAAATAGAAATAGAAGTTACTACAAGTGTAGCGTAACAGAAGATTTTGCATGTGCGTGTGAGATCTAGACATACAGAATGATAAATTTAATTGCAGGTGCTGTTTTGTTTAGCTGTAATGCTAACATGCCTGAAAACTCCAGTGAGATGGCTTGTGTGGTCTTTGCTTCTGTTTTAAATAAGGAAAAAAGAAGCAAAAACAGCTGTTAACTTTTTTTTTTTTGTTAAAGTGTACTGAGATTCTTAGTCTCAGTACATATAAACTATGTAAAATAAAAGGTTGCCATTTATTTAATTGGAGAATGTTTATCTATTTATAGAGACAGGGGTAGCTCTCCTAGGAAGTGGCTCACATTAACAGTGACGTTTAAAGTATGGGTGGGTTGTGCATGTTGGTGACTTATATTCTTTTTGATAGTTCTTTTAACATCAGAAGATGTTACCAAATCATTCTATGCTTTCTGTGTGTTTTGGCTTTATTTTTTAAAACTTTAGATGTTTTAAAAAATGAGACTATAGATTTTTGATGATCTTTAAAGGTCCCTTCCAACCCAAACCATTCTGATTCTATGTGCTCTTTATTCAAGAAATGGTGATGTTGTATTGCGAGTATATTATCCTGTTGTTAAATGCAAACATATCTTTTCTGTCTGTGTGTACCTGGGCACCTATACTTAACATGCTTCCATGCACTGCTTTTTAATTGAGAGAGATTTACATAAGCCTAAACAACAGCTGGGAAACTAAATTAAAGTAGGAAGCTGAGATTCAAACTGTTCTTTGGACATCTGAGTTTCTTACCTGTTGTTTTGAAAAGTTCTTTTGACAAAAAATGATACTATTAGATAATTCTTGCACTACTGGGAATATACTTCTGATAATGATATTATGTGCCTTCATCTCGGGAACTGAAAGCTCAAAAACTTGAGTAGTTTTGTCAAAATTTTGGTGTTATTATTGTGTAAACATGAGAAGGACTGCACCCCTTCCCCCACCCTTCCTTTTCCATGTATTTATTGAGTCCCAGAGCTTTACAAATCCAGATGTGGCCCTGAAGGAAGTGTTTTCTTTATAATATGTTTGCGTGGTCATTTGCATAGCCAGCAGGCTTTGTGTGATCTGTGATCCGTACGCGATGTATTCCGGCTTCCAGAGGGAGCCCTGCGGAAGCGAAGTGGTACCCAGTCACCTCAGGCATGGGGAGAGATGAGCAGGGGTGTACGTGCAAAAACGTGTCTAGGCAACTAGTAGGGGTTTAACACTGCAAGCCTTTTCTTTTCAATATTATTGGTTTATTTTTTCTAATCTTGAGATACTGATTGTAGTTTATGATTTTTTTTTAATTCTGGTCAGCAAATTGTTCACATCTCATGGTTTACCAGCCCAAGAAACTCACATTTTCTGTTTAGCTAGAAGCAGCTCCTTATTCAGGGTGCAAATTCAGTAAACTCTGACTTCAGTCTCTGAACTGGTCTCTGACACGTGGTTTCTTTTTCCTGTTGTTGTCTTCCTGCGTGGGTGTGACTTTACTATCATTAATTTATTTATAAAGAACAAACCAATAGATTTTCAGATTCAACATGGAATATCACTGGAGAATTACTTCCTCCAGGTGACTTAAAAAAGACTAATCAAGATCCTTTTGGTTCCATTCTGCCTTTATTTCTGCTTGGAAAAGATTCCTTGTTAAATCTGAGACAATTTTGGAGAGGTCTTCCTATGGAAAAGAGGCCTCACTTGAAAAAGGATGAAAACAGCTGAAATATAGAGCCAGTAATGCTTAAGCACTAAATTCTTTTCTCCTCTCTCTTAATGTGCTAAAATAATACTGTGGAGTTGTATTTTGTCTGGTAGAATTTGTAAGTACTGGGTTTATAGCTAAATAAAAAAGGTAAATTTTTTGTGTGCTGTGTTTTCACAGTAGCTTAAATACTCTTTGAACAGTCTCTACCTGATTAGAGGATAACTGGAATTTCTTAAATGCTGTAAAATTAAGACAGGAGAATATGCTACAGATGAAGAAGACGAAGACATGGGACCTGTCCTTCCAGGAGGTGACATGGCTATTGAAGTGTTTGATCTCCCTGAAAATGATGACATGTTCTCCCCCAGCGACGTGGACACCAGCAAGCTTGCTCACAAATTCAAAGAGGTAAGTTATAGATCAGAAAATATTCCTGAAATATCTCACTGGAATTAGATTTCTAGTTACCTCATAGCTCAGTGCTTGGTTTTTCTCTTGAAAACTAGAGTTGATTTCTAGCTGTTTGTGTACTCGGTACTTTCAAATGACTCAAAAAGTTCTGCTTAAAAGAAGTGGAACTGTTCTTTGGAGTTGTTTTAGCATTAGCTTTCAGGTGACTGTTGCATTGTTAGAGAGTAATTAATAATTTAAGTTTTCAGCACAGAAGTTATTGTGCCGCATCACTCTGGTTTGCATTTTTTTTTGACCAGGAAGAAAACGTGCAAGTTAATTCAGTTAATTCATTACTAGCATACTACTGCTCTTTTTTTTTTTTTTTTTTTTGTAAGATTCCAGTCAGAAGTGATCAGGAAGACCAAACAGATAATGCTAAATTTCAGGGGAAAGGGACATGTGGAGCTCATCCTATACCATTATGCAGCAACTGGTCAATGTACAGCAGGGTCATACTTTTGGCCATGCGCTTAGAAAGATGCTGTACTGGGGAAGCAGGCATATTTCAAGCTGGTGTTTTAGCAAACTGTGGTTACAGAGTTTGTATAGCATCCACTGATACTAAATGGGTTTGAATCAGTGTTGTCCATTGCAGTCATTGGATTCATATAACTTAGCATGCTAAAGTACTGAGAAACATTTCTTCTGTATTTTAGGCTGTGCTTTTGATGTGGTTTATTTCTGAGCCTTCCTGAATGCTGATGCAAATAAAGACATGAAACAATTGAATTTATCTGAGGCCACAGTAATGGGCAGAGTGAGGACAATAAAGAACTTTTTTTTTTTTTTAATACAGGAAGATGGAAAGGGTCAAAATAGCCAGAACCTCATAGGAGATTTGAGCAGCAGAACCTGAGCCCAGAAAGGAGTTTTAAAATACAGAGGCTCCCTTTTTATCCTTCTTCCCCTATCCTCTCCCATCCCCTTCCCTCCACTCAAACCAGATGTTTTATCTTCTTTAAATGTATGTTGTTACTACTCTCTAGTGAGAGTAATGTATGGAAAATAATCAGTCAACAAGCGACCAGTCTTTTACTTTTCTGCTGATAGTATTTTCAGCCTTTGGATGCCTATTATTATTCATCATTGTTTCCTGAAAGATTTTTACTTTACTTAAATGATAATTTTCTCACTCCATATTTCAAGTTCCAGGCTCTTATGCATATTAGCAGAAAAATTTACTTTTCTAATACTTTACATTATATGTAGTGATACTTTCTAAATGCGGTGGGAAGATGCTGCCATTCTGATTGTGCCAGTGTACCAAGGCTGTGCAAACCACAGATGCAGTGATGGGCAAGGCACTCACCTTTGAATAAATTACCTGTAAAATTATGCTTGAATACAGTTTCCATCAACTGGGGCTACTGCTGTACTTGAGCATGTCCAGCCTGATTTGAAGCTATTTGCAGACCTGTCTGATGTAATGGCCTCAAAACGCTGGTGTAGAGGAGATCAGATGAAGGGACATTGGGGTCCTCCAGTTTAAGTGCAGATGAGAGCCTAAGAAGAAAACATTAAATGCTCCTGCATAAGTGTGGACTCTTTCTCTCTAACCCACGCAGTTACTGCTGTTACTAGCATTCTACTTTTGTTTCACTGATTGTATTTAACAGTACACAGCTGCATTTTGTTGGCTGCTACAGAGTGAGTACATGTATTTTTCTTGGTATTTGCCCTGAATTCTTTCAACACTAGAGGACTTGTTCACGGTCACACTGCACAAGCCCACACAGTGTTTTCTGGAATTATATTTAAAGAATAGCTGTTCTTTCTTGTTCTTACTCCAGAGATTAATGAAAGTATTAAACAAGTGGGTTAGACATAATCTTTAAGCTTAAATAGTTTGACCTAATTAGTTGAATTCAGTCTTTGCAATGAAAAATGTGCTCACATACTTTGAGAGCACTCTTATTTGAAATGCCTTGCTTTTGGAATGAAAGTCAGAAGAGAGATGGGCATTCCTGGGTGAATCACTGTATTTCTGCAAGTCTTGTTTTCCTGGCTGTAAAACAGGAAAAATTGGACTGATTTTCCTTAACTGCTTTGAGAGAAAGACCTAGAAGCTTTATTTTAGCTGTGATGATTGAAGAGAGACAAGATCTGTAGGGGGAAAGGACATCCTATGTAAGAATTAGGTATTATATTTCATGTCTTAATGAAATATATGAAAATTTTATTATTATTATTATATGCAAAAAATACATAATTATTATATTAAAATTGTCATGGAGATTATTAGATTCCATTGGGTACTTTCTTTCCCAGTGTAGTCAGGATATTATCAGTATCAGCAGGAAAGTGTCTTTTTTTTTTTTCCTTCTGCCTCAGTGGGATCTGCTGTACCATGTACTGATTCAATGATCTGACTGGGTGCTCAGTATTCATTTTTTTAACTTACTAACAGAGCGTATAAAAATAACTGTTGAAACCATCTGTACCTGAGCAGATTGTCATTTATGCAACAATTTTGAGTTTATTTGTGTGTAATAATAAGCTGTTTAAGTGCTGCTTCTGGGTTTGTGGGGTTTTAGAAGAGATGGGAAAGGACTTTAAGCAGGTAGCCTAAAGCTTTGAGTCTCGGCTTTTTGATTTCATTATTAACTCTGCAAAGGGCAAAGTCTAGCTCATCCATCCTTCCCCTGATTTTATCTCACTCCAAAACAATGAGGTAGTAGAACTAAGGAAAGGCCTGGGTGCTTTATAAACACCATAACATTTTGAGATGGTTCTTTCGTAATTTTTCACTACTAACAGAAATGGAATGATGAGAAAAAACAGTTCTCGATCACTGAAGACTGCAGATCAGAGATTGGATTGAGTGAGCTTAAAATTTGCAAGTAACCTCATGCAAATGCTAATTAAAGTATCTCCTTAGTTTCCTCCACTATATATAATTACAAAAAAGGTATATATCCTTCTCGGCTTCTTGGTCTGCTGGGTGAAGTAGCACCACTGGCCACTTCTTGCCATTAACACCAGCTCCAGGGCTGCCGAGCGCCCTGTTCCTGGCTGCACCGGTGTCTCTCCGTGCGGGACCAGTGGCCCTGCTCTCCCGTGGCTCTGCCTCAGGAGCCCCGTGCAATCCCCGGGTTAGCCGCCTGCTCAGGGCCCGTGCGGTCTGGCCCGTGCATGTTCCACCCACTAGTGTGCTTGCTGTGCCGCCACATTTTACATGTTTCTGCAAGCTGTTGTAGTCAGTGACTGGTTTCATTTGAAATGAGATAGTATAGCTGTTTTCACTGAGCGCTTGAAGATTTGTAACGCTTTTCAGTGCAAAGTCAAGGAGTGTAAGTATCAGATAATCCCAGTGGCGAGAAGCGCATACAGTCTCCTCTGGAGACAGTGACCAAGAAATGAGCGGGGAAAAGAAGATTCCTAAACTGTTCCTCAGGTGGGACTGGTTGCATCAATGCCTTCTTTATTCCTTCCAGCATTAATTCAGGAACTCTCCGCCAGAAAAGACAAAGTTTATTCACTAGATCAGTTAAGGCTGATTTGCAAACCAAACTGCATGTGAGAGTGTGCATTTCATGTGCTGCCACAAGAAGTGGGTTCAAGAGGTCCCATGAAAAGGGAATTTCAGAAGTAGCTTGGCCTTTCTCAAAGATACCTGTATTGATAGCTCTGTGATGGCTCCTGTTATTTTGAAAATTACTCCTCCAGAACTTCTCTTTTGAATTGTACATTTTTTCACTAACAGCCTGCTCGTTGAGAATGTAGCCATTGCTTCACCAAGGATGATAATTTTTGGTTCAGTACAACTCCCTCACATACTCCATTATCTCAACATAAACTATTCCCAAAAGCTCCCGTTAGTCTTGTAAGAGAAGTAACCCCCATGTAAAACATGCTTTTCTGTAACTATTCCTGGTATTCATAAATAATGGACAAAGGCTTTGTCTCCACTGCAGTGCCAGCTCAGGCTGTAATTCAGGTTTTGCCCTTGCCCTCAACTCCTTACTCAACACACAAAGTCACAGTTTCAGATTAAACAGTGCTTTAAGGTTTTAGGGCCTATCAGAAGTTTGTCTGTGCTGCCTGGTTTAAATAATAAAGCGGTGGGGATTCAGGTGCAGACCAGTATTGGGTGCATGTGCATGATCATTTCCATTTGGATTAAGGTTATGCTGTTGACGCTGCACTTTGATTCACAGTACTTTGGAGTGTTTTTGGAGCCTGTGAATAGCAGACCTTTGGGCTGAAACTAAAGATGTTTCAGGACATTGCCTAATACACTTCAAGAGCTCATGAATGTTCACTCCAGAGGATCAGCCTAGTGTAGGTTAGTCCAAAAGAAATCCCCCCCGGAAAGTGTGCAGGTGGGTGCCAGGTCCTCAGCACTGACCCTTTCCCTGTGCAGATCCACTGTTACTGCAGCACGCTGCTTGGTAATGTAGCTACAACCTTTAGCACACTGCCTGGGCTGTTAATCTACTTGCAATCATTTTGTGTGTTTGAATGTCATTTCCTGTTTTTTACAGTTTCTCTGTGTAACTGCTCTCAATTCAGATTGGCCAGTCTGAGCAGAGTAACTACAGCTAATGGTAGAGAAGGATAGCATCGGTGTACCTTTTTTTTTTTTTCCATTAAATAAATGTGTGGAATCTTCCCTTAAGGTTTTCCTGATTTTTTGAGTTGTTAAATCACTTATTTCCATATTTGCATTTTTGTAATGTGCCTGTTCTAATCAATGCAGTGGGACTTTCTGACAGCACTGGGACGTATTTCATGTTCACAACAGAGGACAGCAAAGCCCAGCAGGATAACATCTATTTTTTTTTTTTTAAGCATAAGACATTTGGTTTTGCTAAACAGATTGGATGTTCTGATTTGAAATTATGAGTGGTTAGATGGCATCCTATCTTTAATTAGGTTGCACAGACTGAGTCATTTTGCAAGCTAGACATTTTAATTTACAATCTACTGCACTGCAGCAGTCTTCAAGGCCTTCTGCTATGTAATAAGGTATTCAACTTGCAGCACAGGCTTTAAAAATACTGGAGTACTCTCAGTGACTTCACTTGTTTATTTTATATTTTCAATTTTAGTTGCAAATCAAACATGCAGTTACAGAAGCTGAAATTCAGAAGCTGAAGACAAAGGTAAGAATCAATATATGGTTAATAAATGCTGTTTTTTTCCTCTCATGCAAAATCAGATCTGAAGACATATATCTTTATGTGGGTGGAGAAGTCAACATCCTTGTTAAAGGCTGATTAAGAAGCACAGTGGATCAGCTAAATCTTGTCTTGGTGTATAATCTCTATTCAAAGTTTTAAGTAAAATCTTAAGTGCTGCTATTAAGAGAAACTGCCAACTTGCGTAGCTTCAATTAAACATACATTTTAAGGGGTATCATAATGACTAAATGGCAGGTTTCTAGTTTTACAATTCTAATGCATTTTGTCAGGTTTTTAAATTATATTTGGATTGCATATTCAAATCTAAGTTAGTAGGTTTTTTATTTACCAGTGGTATTAAAGCATCCTGTTTATGCTAATTTCCTTTTTTTTTGACATTAAAAAAAATATCTTGATTTATTTAAAGGTATTTAATGGAAGTTACTTTTTATATGCAGGAGAAAAAGTGCTGTTTCATATTGTTGCAGTTCTTTCTAAAAGATACTCTAGAAAGGAAAAAGCTTACGAATTTAACATCTCACAATCAGTTGCTAGTTATTAGATTGAATTTGCTGTAGCATTAAAGAGGAATTATATTTTTTGTACTAGGATAACCTTTATGGGAAGTCAGCTGATAATTCTGTTGAGTAATACTAGGTTTTATAATGATATCCTTCTCTTTGAGTTTGAGTACATTATAAAGGAAAGAAAAAGAAGAGAAAGAGAAAATTGTATTTCAGAAAAATAGTTTAGATTAGTATTTCTTTCTAGCAACATTTACACTCACTGTATATTTTGCATAGTGTTTATCAAATCTGCAAAATTATTGTTAAAAACAAATTCAAACTGCAGCTATTTTATGTATGGACAATTTCTGCTGTACTGTTTCAGTTCAGAAAGTCAGAAATATTTTCTTCCACTGCTTTCCAGTTCCAGTCCTGCAATCAGAGCCAGGCGGTCAATCCCTTGGGATAGTGCCGAGCCCCATTGACTTGATGACAATGGTGTGTGGGTGTAAACATTAATCTGTAAAAATACATTTGCAGGATTAGTGTTAATGTGCCTTTCTGTGTTGGTCTTATTTACCTAGTATTTTCAATAGAGCTGAAGAGAATGTGGCTAGTTTAGGTGTATTACTAATAAAACTGCAAATTGGGTTTTTTCTTTGTGTGTATATCATCCATGATGTTAGCAGAGCTGCCTAGAGCAAATTAAACAATCTTGATAAGTAAACAGGGATGTTAAATAATTTTTTGTTTTCTGTAAATTCTGGGAGCTAAAATATACAGGCTGCTGAACATCTGTACCCTTACCCAGCTCCAGACACTGAAACCTGCAGCTAGCTTCAGTTAGAAAGTGAGAAACTTAACACACAATAAAACAAACAAACAAAAAAACCCCCCCACACACAAAAAAAAAAAAAAAAAACCAAAATCCAAATAAACAAAAAAAAAAAAAAAAGAACAAAAAACAGAACTAGCAAAGGAGCTAATGTTTATTATAAACTCAGCAGTAAAATTCAGACTTCTCTGAGGTCACTTGGAAAAAGTCATTGGGCTTCACTGATGTCAGATAGTGGAACTAGCAGTGGAACTGCACTGGTCATAGAGTTGAGCAGTGCTGATGTGTTTGGCAGAATTAGCACCTGCAATCTTCAACAGCAAGAGCATATTTTCCTCTTCAGATTAGCTCTTTACAACTCAGTAAGCAAGTTTAAAGAAAACAAGTAATATATTTATAATAGGTTCTCTTTGGTCTCATAATAGTTCTGGCATAGTTTCAGTATTGGATGCAAAACTCTGTGCTTGCTTAAATGAAAAAAGATTCTAGGTTATGACCTGATGTTAAATTTTTAATTATGCTTCAGCCTCTTTTGTTTGACTTTCTAGATTAAGCAAGATTATGACATGAAAACGGACATTGTAAGAATTCAATAGAATTTCTAATTTGATTTAAAAAGCAGATAGTTAGATTGGATGCAATTGCCTTTTTTTCTATTGTTTTATAAATCATTCTTAATTGAAATATAGAACCTGGAAATCAGCTTCCCCCCTCAAAATAAGAAATTTCTTCGCTTTATGAAAGCGTGTGAATGCTTTATAACATCTGACCCACATGCATAGAGCAAAATGCATCCCCAGTGCTGACGGATTAACCCTGCAGTTTGCCTGAATACTCCACTATTGACATTTTTTAAGTGTGTTGGTATAACCCCGAGAAGCACAGAGGCTGCACTGGAACACAGAGCAAAGGCTTTGCTTTGTTTTATGAGGAAGAATAGTGTGTGTATCAGCCTGTTCTCTTTGTCCTGGAATGCTCTTTTCACTGCTAGCGTATTACTATTATAGTTATTAATTCACTGATTCTCACTATTCATGTTGTTTGAATGAACCCTAAACTGTCAGGCTGTACTTTGCAGCTTTTTACTGACTGCATCTCCAACTCTTTTGTTCAGCTGCAGGCTGCTGAGAATGAGAAGGTGAGGTGGGAATTGGAGAAGACCCAACTCCAGCAGAACATTGAGGAGAATAAGGAAAGGATGATGAAATTAGAGAGTTACTGGATTGAGGCACAAACCCTGTGTCACACGGTGAATGAGCACCTCAAGGAGACGCAAAGCCAGTATCAGGCTCTGGAGAAGAAATATAACAAGGCAAAGAAATTAATCAAGGATTTTCAGCAAAAGTAAGCAGTTATGCCAGGCTCAGCAAATGACTTAGTGTCCAGATAGGAAGCATGTATGTGATATATTTTAAAATATGAAACCCACTATTAAACACCTGTAAGGTAAACACTATTTTTCACTTTTTTTTTTTTTTTTTTTCATTAAAATCATGGGTTCTTTATTAAGGAAAAGTGTTAGTAGTATTCAAGTAATAGTTTAGTATTGTTGAAAAATAATACTATAACTAAGTAAAGACTCAGTCTGTAGTATTCCAGGTTTGAATGTTTCAGAATTACTAGATAACTTAGTGTGATTGCAAACAACCAAGAGTAGTTGTAGTAAAGCATTTGATTAGCAGGGTTAGCAGCGCTTTATGTTGGTGTCGTGTCAGCTGGATTCACTCCTGCTGTGTACTAATATAACATCAAAAAGAAAATTGTTTTTTTACATTTTACATTTTATTTTTCTTCTTCTTGTAGATGCCAAGAAAGTTTGAGCTGAATTGAGCTAACTGATGATTACCTGGCCCCCTCTGTTTCATGTGGTCCCCTGTCCCTGATGGCTAGCAAGAATAATAACAACTTATATTTCTATAACAGCTTCCATTCTCCCAAATTTCTTCTTTTTTTGAAGCAACTTTTTCATTTTCTGCTGAAATATACTCATTTAAAGAAGAAAACTCAAAAACATACAGCAATGTCAAGTGACAACTGGGAGTGCAGAAGTGAATATCCTGTCCCATTAAAAAGGGTTTTAGATAGTCAAAATGTTATTACCCATCTTGGAATTTCATGACTATACCAGAACTAACTGGCATCTTGTGTTCTTTCTATCACAAATGTCTTAGATTTTCAAAATAGAAAGAAAAAAGGAAAATAGCTAGAATGAGCTTGGATAACCTTTCTGTTGTTATTCTGCTTTATATTAGTAAAAGATCTAGCCAGTTGTTTTTAACTATCACAAAATCCTAAAATCACCTAACAGATTTCCTTATAGCTTACTCGAAAATTAGATTTGTACCTGGAAACTTACAGCTGTCCTTTGTGTGAAGGAGTGCAGTCACACCGTAATAAAACGGAGATTTTGCTCCATTTCCTACAGCAGAACACAGCATAAACTAAACTAATGTTTTTTTCATTGTAAACACAGATTATGAAAAAATAGTTTGATTTAACTGTTTTGATTATCAATTAGAACAACTGAGGGTTTGGGGGTTTTTTCACATTAGTTACTCTTACCTTTTTTGTATCTTCACCTAGCATATTCACTTAGACTAAGTAATTGTTCAGTGTTTTGTCCTAATTGCAGTTTCATACTTCTTATTAGGTTAGTAGTAAATTATTTGTTAAGTACAGATTTTTGCGATGCATAGCTTACGATATATCAGAACATTTTATTTTCTGTTTAAATCTGATTGCTTTGATGACAGCAAATCCATTGTTTTTTTTTTTTCCCCAAGAGAACTTGACTTCATCAAACGCCAGGAAGCCGAACGAAAGAAAATAGAAGATTTGGAGAAAGCACACCTTGTAGAGGTTCAAGGCTTACAAGCTCGTGTGAGTAGTATTTAGTCTCATATTTGAAGAATGAGACAATTCTGCCTGATATTCTGGAAGAAACATATATCTAATAGATGTGTGTGTATGTGTGTGTTACGGGTAAACTGTGTTGTATTTCTTTCAGATACGAGACTTGGAAGCAGAAGTTTTCAGGCTAATGAAGCAAAATGGGAGCCAGGTTAACAATAACAACAACATTTTTGAAAGGCAGACATCTTTTGGAGAAGTTTCTAGAGGAGATCCAGTGGAAAATCTAGATTCTAAGCAAGTGTCCTGCCTGGATGGCTTAAGTCAAGGTTTGTTTTAACCAGATCGTAACTCCTATTAATATGTATGTAAATAGCATGGTTATCATTTAGGATTTAAAAGGAACAATTAATAATGCAGGGATGTTGTTATTTTTCTGAAATTCAGTATCTAATGACAGCTGCATTAGGTTTGTACCAAATAATGCCAATATAGAGTCCCAGAATAACTGTACAATGTATATGCTTAAAGAAATAGAAGTGAATAAGTGCTAATAAAGCAAAGATCATTATTGATTTCTTAAAGCTTTCAGTGGGATGCCATCAACATTTAGGTTTAATTTGATGCTGCTGTTATATTAATAAAATAGGAGAAAATTGTGTTTTCTCCTGTGTTCCTACATCTGTCCTTAATTACCCAACCACCAAAGATCAAAAAAGAACAAAGATACCAGAATGAGAAAAACAATGTTAAATCTACCATTTTGAATGGATCTCTGCAGGTTCTGATCCCACCTTGGTACAGACACCAAAAGGAACCATGTAGGTGGCACTCACCATTTCTCAGGATGAAGCCTTTTGTGAATAAAATGCAAATTCTTTACTAGCACATTAATTAAAAATCCTATTCAGTTATAGCACAGCCTGATTTACATCATAAGACTTGTAAGACTTTGTTCTACATTACCAAAGAGCCAAAACAGTTTCTGGCAACACTGAGATGTGGGTAGATGCTGTCAGCAGGGTCACTGTAACCTTTACTTGTTTTACACAGAAAAAATAATTCCCATTTTTCAGGCTGTGCCAATGAAAATACACAGATAACTTCCACAGCTCTAGTTAAAGCTCTGTAATTGCAAATGGCTCCTCACAGTTGAAGTATATGCAGAATGAAAGCCATTTTTGGATCCACAGCCTTGGAACAAAACTGTTTGGCACAGGAGCAATACTTACTGTGTATTTAGTAACATCTGTGAAATCAGGTGTCAGAGGTGCTGGGATTCTGACAAGGGAGCACCAAACTCTGTTCCTATGTAACCTTTCATTTCAAATAAAATATGATAGTATTTATTTCTCTGGTGAAAAAAATGCATTACATTACCAAATAAATTAATTTCTAGCAAGCACAGAGATGTTTTGTTAAAATTGATATTTTAGCAGTTATTTCACATGTGGACCCAAACTGAATATTGCTCTACAAACACATCAGTAGGAATTACAGTTTTAACAAAGTGTGTGTATAAAAAAGAGCTAGTCCTGCTGAAAGTGTTTGGGTGATATGCAGACCTTGTGGAGTTGGTTTCCACAAATCTTCACAGAGCTGTTTCTTCCTAGCAAGTGTTTATTATACTGAAATCTCTGAAGTTCAGAGAAGCACTCAGGATGACAAGAAAGTCTGTATTTCTGCCATAGAGACTCAGTAAGTGTTACAAAATAATTAATACTTAGCAACACTGTTAACAGAAATCCTTTCAATAGTTTGCATCAGGAGGTGTTTTCTTTATGTGACTCACAAAAATCATGTTTACACTTACTGTTGTAAGAATGTCAACACACACCTGTGGCCCAAGAGCTGAAATCCAGGAACTTCTGCATGTAAAAAGAACCAGTTCTTTCTAAAAATTTGAAAAGTCTATGTATGCCATTAGAACTCTGCATGTCAGTCCTTTGAAATTATATTTTTCAATCAATACATTTGCATGAAAATTTTCATTTTCCAAGAGCTGACGATTTTCATCGCAAAAACGTTCCCCTGGAGAAATGTTACCAGTGTTCAGTACTTCTGAGAGTTAGAATAGACGATCTGTGAATTTAAATGCGCAAGTTTAACCACCTCAATACAAATACAAATTATTTGCTTGGAAAAATAGACAATTAGCAGTGATTTTTTCAAAAGCAGAAAAAGTATAGTTAGACCTTAGAATCAAGGCAGGATTTGTGGTTTTAACGAGAGAAAAAGAAAAGCCTTTTTTTTTTTTTTTTTTTTAAATAAAGAGATCCCTAAACATGCTGTATCACTCTTTGACCTCCATATACCTTTCCCAGTAAATTCTGTATCGGAGTCTCTGAAGTCTGTATCAGACTGTAATGCAGTGATACTTTCTCTGCAGACAAAGACCCTGTGTGTCCATATCACCCTTGTGCAAACCTTTTAAGAAAATTACTTACCATTGTCTGGTAATATTGATCACTAATAATTAATATATTTGCTAATCAACCAGTGGACGTTTGCGGAGGAGCTGTAAAGGGCGAGGGAGCTGTCCATGATGTCTGGAGGGTGAGCAGAGTTCCTCCGGGTGCAGTGCGTTGTGCACACCATCTTTGTGATGTTCACGCAAGCTTCAGTCTCTTTTCTGGCTTTTGTTTGTCGAGTGTAACACACTCTTCTTTATCAAGCCCGGCATTAGGCTTGTGGGATGGGACTGCATGTACACACACACATCCTGAAATTTTTATTTTGAAGTTTGCAGGTCTGTCTTCCCTCAAAAAATCAGGTTATGTAAAATATATATTTTAATTAAAATTATACCAAGTATGTTTTTTGCTTCAAAATGATCTGAGATGTTTATGACATTCTTGCATGGTAATAGATTTGGGAAGAAGTAATAGATGCGACGTGACGGTCGCATATGTACAAGCGTAGCTGTCCCTGCCGCTGTGGGTGCTCTGGCTGTGTTTAGCATCATGCCAGACTGTATGACTCCTCGGGCTGTAACATAGCCTCATGCTTAGAGTGAGGGGCTGCCAGTAATGTCAGTGGAAGTTAAAAAATCAAAACCATTATGGCCCACAGAGTTCTGCCTTTGCTTTGCCAAGGAATACTTAGAAGCCTGAGGATTGTGTTTCTTTTACAAATCTATGATTTATTCCAAGAGTCCAGAAAAATGGATAAAGTGCATTGCAGCTTTCTGGTTTAGTGGTCATGAGCTGTGTCTGCAATAGAGAATCAAGTTATTTAGTGGAAGGAGTCAGTGGTTTGAAATATAAACAGTTCAGTGCTGATGCCAACTTTGACAGTATTTGCTCATCTCTGTGCAAATGCCCGCTCAGGCTGCTTTGATGGCTTTACTATCTGGGTGCCTTGGGATACTCAGGGGGACATCAGTTCACCGAAGGAGATTTTGAAATCTATCAGCCTGTATAATGGAGAAAACAGTAGGAGGACAGACAAGCTCTTTCCTGCTCCACAGTGGCACTGAAATAATTCAGATGGAAGCCCGCTGGAGTCAAGTGGTTGAACACCTGCTGAAAGAAAGTCTGATGTCATTGTCTCCAAGAGCAAAATAAAACCTGTTATGAGTTTTACGTGAAAGATTTGTCAGGTTCCCCAGTGGGTTGGGAGATTCCTAGAGAAAGGCGTGGGGGTGCGTGTTTGTGCCAGGGAGCAGCGAGGGCCGGCAGCTCTCCGCAGAAAAGGGAGCTGGCACTGAGGGTGACAGCACACATGGCTGGGGCAGAGACCACCCAACAGCAGCCCAGTCCCACTGCGCCCAGGCATGGCGAGCAGGGCAGGTCCAGAGATGGAAACCAGAGCCAGCTGGGATCCTGGGCGGGTTCCTGGTGGTGAGGCAGGTCTGAAGGCAAGCCGCAAAGTCTGTCCGTGGGCCGTGGATCGGGTCCAGATCCGCACGACCTGAGGATGAGAGTCCAGCTTAACTACAGCAGTGACATGGAAGGAGGGAAGTCCCTGCTGATGCTGCCTGGGCTGTTTCTTTGCAGCAGGCTGAACCGTGGTTAGGTACCTGGGGCACAGCAGATTGCTGCCATTGAGTGCGAGCAGCCTCCTGGTGTGGAGGGAGCAGTAAGCTCCAGGGCCAGATGGTATTTTCCTTTAACAAAGCCAATATGACCACTTCTTTGAATAACCGTTTGCAGTGCTGTGTCGGTGGTTTGCATAATTTCATTGGTGAAAGGAAGGGATGTGTGGAAATGTGTACACCTGAAAGAATAAATATAAGCAGTTCAAGTCATGACAACGTGCAGTTATCCTATGGAGTACTTACAGCGGAAGCATAATTACAAGTCAGACATTGCTAATGATTCTGTAGTGTCATCTGAACGTAGAATTTAACTCTTACACAAGGAAGAAAAGCAAAACATGATATTCGAAGTCTATACAGTGCTTTAAGACAACATAAATCTGCAAAATAAAAACGAGTTTGAATGAGTCTTAGCCTTAGTTATTTGCTGGCATACTAATTCAACCTGAGGCTCTGATTTCAAGACGCAGTTTGGGCTGAACTGACAGATCATTACTGTTGAAATGGAAGGCTCCATGCCATCCCTGCCTTTGTCCAGCCACCTGGTTGTGCTTCTTCCATTGCCCTTTTCCCACACTTGCACATTTCTGTGCACACACTGATTCACAGAAACAAGAGAAAACAGACCAAGAGGGGAAGATATTGGAGTGTCAGGCTAAAATTCGATAGTTTCTGCAGGGTCAGTCATTTGAATCAGCAAACTGCAGTCCAAATCCTGGGGGACTCGGGGCCAGGGGTTTGTGTTGTGACAGCAGGAGGAAGAGCAAGAGCTCACCATTTTGGCAAGTCACCGACTTGCTTCCACCCCTGGTGAAATCATGTTCTCTGGGACTGGAGGACAGGATGCCATCATGAAAAATTTCAGCTTTGCTCAAGTTAGTCAGAGTTTCTTCACTGGCTTCAGTGAGGCTAAGATGTCTCCGTTTATGTTTGTTTAAAGCAAAAATGTCTGTAAGATCAGCTTCTAATTAATTAGTTCTGTTTTTAATGCAGTACTTAGACAAGTAAATAAATCGAACAGATTCTGGTTTGATTTGTACTATGAGGATTGCAAGGAAAAAAAAAAAAAAGTTATAACCATAAAGAATCTATTCCATTTCTGGTGTAAAATGTGAAAACACCTTTTAAAATGTGTTTTGGTACTTCAGCTTTGTAAAACGTTAAATTTGCTGAAATACTCAGACTTCATTTGAGTGATTGATAGTTAAGAAAAGTGCAGTTACGTTAGCTCTATTTGTAGAGGCAAGTAGAGGCAAGTCATGACATTCAGGGATAGGGTGGCTTTGAACCTAGACGGATAATTTAATTGTTCCATTTTTTTATATGAAATATTTCTCCAGTTTTCATGTATCATAACAGTGTTTGGGCAGTAGATGTAAGGAGAAAGATCTAGAAACTGCTTTCCTTTCAAAACTGAAGAAATAGGTTTTCATGATTTTTCCATCAGAAATTTCTGTGTACAAAGACAACAGTAAGTAAGCATGAGAGTGACAGTGTCCAGCTCTTTTCTGATGGCATATGAAAATAATGCAGCACTGGCGTTTTGAGGTTGCTTTCCATTTTGTTATTTTAAAGTACATATGGTAGAAGGCAATATCTGCACAAACCCCAGATGTTCAGAAAATACAGCAACGTTGTAGAGTTAAGAATGGGAGAGTAGAGTACACCTCCTGGCTTTCACCCAGATCTTTTGATGACTTTGTTGGTTTTTTTTGGGACAAATACTACCTTACTTCAGATCTCTCACAGAGGTTTTGAATTATTAGACCAGGATAATGACAGATCTAACAGTCCATGTCCTGCTCCACACAATATAGTCATTTTGCAGGGAGAGCCAGGATCCCTTCGCTCTTGTACAGATCATGGCCTTCCCATTCCTGCCTTGAACAGCTGTGATTCAGGGTGCCTTTTAGACCTTCTGGATGGATTAATTTAATTTATTTTTTGACTGTCATGATAAGCTTTATGCAACATCACTTACGGCTGGTTGCAGTCAAAATTTACTCAACACTCGCAGGTTCTTCCTGCAAAGCTGCAACACTACTTTGCTAATGATTTTGCCAAAACGTGTTGCTGTTGGAAAGCTGAAGCCAGACAACTGCAGTAGAGAGTAACAATCACAGTAATGATCGCATCCTCTAGACTCCTGCTTAAGGAAAGGGGCTTGTCAGAGTGTGTTCTGATGTGATCCAAGCAAGTGAGGCAAGGCTGTGTTTGTGTTAGGTCACTCATATCAATCCATTTGTATGAGGGACCACGGCGGTTGGTGCTAACAGAGGTGTTTTACTTAAGTTTACCTGAGTTTATGTAGATTTTAATAGTTTGAAGGTACTGTGAATAAAAGAGAGAAGAATCTGCAAGGGGAGATAATGGTTCTGATGACAGTGCTGCAAGGGAGGAAGTAATGAATGAGACTGCCAGGTGATAATAAAAAGATGCTTTTATTTGCAGAAGGATTGGGGTGAACAATTGGGGCACCTTATTTGTGTTGTCACATAGAACTTTGAACAACAGATGACCTCAGAATCCAGAGGAGGCTTGGGATTCCTCTCTGCTGTCCCCTCCTGAGAGGGACGGTATGATAGAGTAAGCAGCCTGTTTCACTGTAGGTCCAAAGGAATGAGTTTAACACTTGTTTCATAATCCTGTGAAAGGCTTGCCTGTAAAGTGATCCAATCACAAATAGTTATCTGACATTTTGGATACTGCCTATATTACTCTCTGTGCTACTGACTGCAGACATTGCTTGCTCATAATTTGCACATATTGTGCAAGGTTATTTTGGGGGACATTCAGTTCAGGAGAGAACAAGTCATGTTCCTTAAATTCATAAGCCACTCTGATTATGATAAAATGTAGAACAGCCAGAGGACATATTTCTTCTGTAATTCAGTGAGCAGCCTGCAAAACTGGTGAAGTTACAAAGGAAATGCTTAGTGGGGCAGCTGTGGTAAAAAACATTCCAGTTCCTCCTCCTCGAGTGGCTTAAAAGGGCAGGATTGGGGATAAATTAATTGGTCCCCTGGGTCTAACTTGGTATATTCATCCAGACGCTGGGAAATGTCTGTCAGAGAGCAGTGAGATGAGGACTCCTTTGCTTTATCCCTTGAGGAAGAAGAACCCTCTGCAGGCCAAGCACATGCAAGTCCCTCTGAGGGAGTCTAAGTGGACCTGCTTTCTGGGCTAGTACAGCTGGTTTTGTATGGTCCTTCACATAACAGCAGGAATCATTTGTTGAATATTTAAATATTTGCAGTTGATTCTTTGCTATGCACTTACTGGATCTGTATAGGTAAACTTGTTAATGGTTTATGCAAATAAGCTCTTCTTTTTGTATGTGTACTTTAACAGTTAGGAAGGTACAAGTGAAAGTAAAACATGCAAAGTGCCTGTACTCTCAATGGTGGGTCCTGTGTTAGGAAAAAGTAGTGAGAGATTCTTCTGTTAAACAGCTTCAAATCATGTTTCCGTGCAGATTTCAATGAAGCAGTGCCAGAAACAGAGAGACTGGACTCGAAAGCTCTGAAGACTCGAGCTCAGCTTTCAGTGAAGAACAAGCGGCAGAGGCCTTCTAGAACAAGGCTGTATGATAGCATCAGTTCAACTGATGGAGAGGACAGCCTTGAACGAAAGGTGAGAAGGACTCTACCCTCTCTTTCAGGCTTCCTACAGAGTGCTAGATTGCCCCTGTAAGTCGTTTCATTGTCTGTCTTTGTCCTTTCATTGTAGCACAGGCAGTATGTATTCCTCTGTGGCCAATATGCAATGAATGTCCTTGAGTCACGTGCGAGTCTGGTCTCCTTTGAGTCAGCACACCTGTTTTTTTGGTTTTACTGTGTTTTTTTTTAACAGGAATCCTGGGCTTTCTGATTTATGTGTGCTTTATAATGCAGAGTGGGTCCTTTCATTTAAGCAGAAGGTGAAAGGAACTTGAATCGTGCATTTCTCTATTTGTTAATTTGTTAACACAATTGATAAGATATTCACTCATTGTTCTGTCCTATTCTGGCTTCCGTCTGAAAGCAAGTACCAATAAACAACACTGTGTGTGGTATCAAAAGGTAATGGCATGAATTGCTAAAGTGTTTCATACAAATAGAAGGCTAAACAATGAATAAAAGAATTGCATGTTCAAAGTAAACCTTGCTCTGATTGGTTACTGAATGGTATAACCTGCTTTATAATCTCTTATACCAACAGCCGTCAAACAGTTACAGTAGTCCCATGCACATTTCAAAATCACCACTGCCCTTATGCATGAGAGCATCCTCACCAGCATCAGATTCTGGTGCTTCCTCCCTCTCCCCCGTGGCTAGCAGTGCAGCAATCTCACTTGACAACCTAACTGCAAACCAAGAAGAAGGACAGCACCACAAAGGAGGTGTCCTTTCCCCACATGCTCGGGGAGACACTCCACTTTCCTCTCCTTCAAAATCCGGGCACAGCTCTGAAGCATCTCCTTTGCGTCACCCAGCTGGCAGGAAAATTTTACAGAATAAAGGTATTACTATTTTTTACAATAAATTGATGCATCGTTTTGGTCACTTACATCTACTTTATGAACTGTTGTGTAGAAGGACCTTAGCAACTAGAAGGCCATCATCTCATAACTTATTTTGTCTACCTGGAAGTAAAAAACTCTGTCTGATGGTCTAAGAAAAGGACAGAGTTTAAAATGAAATCAGGAACTGCTTCTTTTCTTTTTTTTTTCTTTCTTAGATCTCACTGAAAAAGCTGTGGGGAAGTTGTCTTTAAGAAAATCTTGTATTTTGTTTTTTAAAAAAATAAAATTATTGGACCTTAGGACATATCTGTATTAGAAACATGCTTAACACAGTGTACTCCAATTATGTGATTTTGGCACTGCTAGATGCTTTTTTTGGAAGGTGGGGAAAGGAGTGTAAAGCAAGAATAACAGAATGTAGCTTTTAATTGCTGAAAGGCGGCATAGTCTATATTAAACAAGAGGTTAGTGTCTGGAGACTCTTCATTTACAGAAAAAGAGTTTCAAGTAATTTGTTGGGGAGGTTGGACACATTGTTATTTATTTAATTCAGATTTAAATGTAAGCTGGATAAAACATGTTGCAATCATACCTAGCTAAGGTGCATGTCTCAGATACCAGTTTATTAAATGCATTAACAATACGATATGGCACAGAATACAGAGCCCTCCTTTTCAGATGCCCTGTGAAGTCAAAACTAGCATTTTACACAAGTTCAGCATTCTTAGCTATGCAGCTTGCATTCTCTGTCAGATAAGCTAAAATACATGATAAAACTTGTTTATAAGTGCGGTCTGCAGGAATAGGTCTGGATAGATTCATAACAGACTTTGGCTTACTTAAATTAACTGACAGGAACAATTTGTTGAGGAGTTTTGTTTGTCTGTGTGTCTGAAAAGATTTGCCACTGATTTACAACCTATTTTTATTTCATCTTCATTCAGGGCTTTCACTCAGATTCCTAAAAGATGGATTAATGAAGTTTTATTGATTTAGGACAGGTTAATATATGCTAGCGTTTTTATATGGGTTCTGAAATTGCTAGTCTAATTGTGTAGTTTCTATTCGATAATTGTTAAATAGTCAAAGTTAAATTCAATATTTTAGTTTTGCAACTAAAAGTAAGGGTGAGAACATATGAATGTGACTTTCCAAACTCATATTTCAGCTTGAGTGTATGATTGTTTTAGCAGTGAAGTCATAAATCCTGCATTTCCAACTGATGTATGAAAAATACTTTGATAAAAATTTAGTGGACACTAGCTTTATAGTGTAAGAAATAGGGTATTATATTCCACCCACTGTGCCGCTCTTTCCAGTTCAGGTTTGAAAAATAATCTCTGTCTCAATATTGGTGTTGTGCTTTCCCCATTGTAACCGTTGAGTAAACAGCCAATAGTTTCAGATGTATCCAGATTCTAATGAGTACATGAAAATTAAACCAGAGCAATTTAGATTCAAATGTAAAATTTGCATTTAATAAGTTCTACAAAAAAAGAAATAACCTAAAGCAATTATTTGGCAAATACTATTTTAATTGATTAATTTGACTGTCAAACTCTTACAGGTCAGGAAATAAAAAGAGCCATTGTATTTGTTCTGTGTGTTCAGGAAGGTTTTTTTTTAGAGATGGAAAGAGAGCACATCTGTGGGCATGTATGTCCACTGATTAATCTCTCATTAGCAAAAGTGTGCATTAGCAAGCTAGCCCTTGCCTTTTTTTTTTTTTCCTCATGAGATCCTCCAGTGTTGTGGAAATAGCTGAAATGGCATGAGATCAGATTCATTGCAAAGTGATGAGGAATTTTGCTTATTATTCTTTTAAGCACATTTTTTTCATGTATGTGTATGATTAATTTATTGTCTTCAGTTCTGCCTGGTTTGTGCAACAGCATCCTTTGACAGGGCAGCCGAGGTGACCCCTATGGGCAATACTCCGCTGATGGGAGGCTGCCTGCAACTGTTTTGTGACCTTGGGGAAGAAAGTTAGGTCTAGTTTCCTTTCACATCCATCAGCCACAGATTACCTACACCCGCTCCTTGAGGCTGAAAGTGGTGGATTAAACAGCTTCTGGGTGATTTATTCTGAGGAACTGGCTCTCCCTCACTCTCTCTGAAGAGCTATAAGGAGTCAGGGAAGATGCGTCCATCCAGGGTGGTCAAAATCCCCTCCTGCCCAGGCACCTGCAGCCCTAGTTTGTGGCCACTGCCATGTGCCAAGCACTGCACCCCTCCATGTGTGCAAAACCCTGGAGGTTCAAATCCTCTCTGCCACTGAAGCCAGTTTTGGGACCTAGCCCATCCATCTTCCACTGAAGTCCATAGCCAGCATAAATGTTTTCCCCAGCAAATTATCATTATTCGGAGGGCCCTGGCTGGGTCGAGCTGCATGTGAGTAGGAGCATAGTGATACAGGAGCCCAAACAGAACGTTGCCATACCAGGTCCCTGCTGAACAATCCAGATTCTTTCTTCTGTGGCAGCAGCAAAACTTCCAGCTACTAAATGCTTTAATTGTTTGCCCACCAACAAAGCAGTGTACCTTATAGTTTCATTTACTTTCATTAAGTTTATCAAAAAAGCCCCCAGCCCCCAAGCCCCATTTGCCTGTGAATAGCTACTGTGAAAATAATAAATAAAATATTACGACTTTTATACTTGAAAGTGGCAATTTTGACAGTGATGAAATTAGAAGTATGCGTTAAAGGTGAAGGAGGAGCCATAAGAGGAGACAGGAGTGGAGTGTGCACAGCATAGGGTTGATGCAAACTGCATCAACCTAAAGTTGATGACTTCTTAAATTGATGTTGATTAACTGAACAACTGATTAAGCTGATGGCTTAAGTTGAGATCTTATTAAAGAGCCTAAAGTTCTCTTCAGCCTGCCAGGGGAGTGAATTGCTTCTCAGGAGACTTCACTGTGCTTTTGTCATTCTTCATATTACTTTTTTTTGTTCGCTTTTTTGGCATGACATTACTTTTCAGTTGTTCTTCAATGTTTGTTTCTGAATGTTTTTTTTTAACATAAGGACTTGTGTTGATAGAAATAGACTTACTTTTAGAGTGTAAGTATTGCAAGAGGCTTATTTTCCTGCTTTTCCCATGATGTAAGAACCAGTTGCACATTAAATTTTTTACTTGTTGAAAACGTGCCCAAGTATTATCCACAAAGCAATGTACAAAGTTCTGTACACATAGTTGACTGTCCTGTGGTAGTGCTGTGGTATTTTGGGTTAATTCTGAGGGCTTAATTTATGTCAGCTACAGTAGGAGAAATCCGCAAACCCAGCAGTGCTTTCAGTTAAAAGTCACTGTACATCTGAGGTCACACTGTAAAAGTCACCAAACCTCAAGTGACATAAATGACTGGCCTTAGTTTGCTTCCCCTAGAGTATTTGGGGACACTCTTTATCTTCAAGAATCACAGAAACTATGTCTGGATTTTTCAATTGCTGTGTGTTTTCTTTTAGCTTCTATATAGATTTCACAGGATGTTTTGCAGACTCATTGTTTTGGCTTTATAGGTACTGCAGGCTGTTTCCTCTTTAGGCCTTAACAGTGTTTGTAGAAGAGATCAAAAATTGGTAGATGTCTCAGGGCAAATTTATTGACTAGGCTACTTTTAATTATTTATTTTTTTAATTCAGAATGGTTGGATTTCAAGTTAAATGTTTATTTTAACAAAGATGTTCAAGATAAACAAATAACTGTTACCTTTCATGTCCATCATAAAACATACCATTGGCTCCAAAGTTCAAGAAAGTATTTCAGAAGTAATTTTGGAAGTAAAGCATACATACCAAATGAATTCTGTAAAAGGAAACTTAAGCGGCGACTGCTAAGTTTAAAAAATGATTCACTGAAATGTTTACCTGTAAATCTTTTGTGTTGTTTGACTTACTGCATAGTCATTAAAATTCAACCAGAATTAACTTTCCATTTTCTTCAGTTAAAGTAAGATTCCTTTCTGTGTATTTTCAAATTCTGAAAGTATTTATTTTTATTCCTCTTCACACCATCCTCTTAAAAATGGGAAGAATTCACCTAATTAAATTGTGTACTCACACACATGTACATGTATGCATATCTAATTATGAAAAGATACAAAAACTGTTCTGGATGGAAAGTGGAATAGCTATCAGTAGCAATTAAAAATAATAACATACATTCTTCCGTGTACAAATGTGTCCTAGATGGTGCCACAGGTGCTCAGGCAACAAGAACAGCTAGCCCTACTGTAGGGCATACAGAAAAACTAAAGCGAAAACTTGCAGATCTTGGGTAAGCATTTTGTTATTTAAAATACTTATTTTTTTCATTAAAAGGATTGAAAGTTAAATTTCAAAGATGTTTCCTGATGTTTTCTAATATTTTTGTAGGGCTCCCCTGAGAAGGAGTTCAAACAAGGGCAAGAAGCGGAAGGAGAAAGAAGCTATTAGGGTGACCTATGGCAGTAGGTATGGGTGAAACATTGAGGATGCAACAAATGATATACCAGATATACTGGAAAAATCTAATCATCCTAGCAGATGGGAACATTAACAGCTGACTTCATATAAATGTTAAGCTTTGAGATACATTTCTGAGCTTACAGACTTAGATTTCTTAACTGATGAAAGACTAACATATAATCTGAAAATAGTTGTAGGTTTATAATATCGTGGCATCACTACTACTGTTGCATCCACTAATGGGATTTGCAGAAATAGGTTATCAGAGCTGGCCCACAAGATGCACACACAGTCAGTTATTAATACCTGTGAACAAGAAATCTTGACACAATTCCACATATTCTACTTGAAGGGGGCCTATGGGAAAGATGGGGAAGGACTCTTTATCAGGGAGTGTAGGGATAGGATGAGGGGTAATGGCTTTAAACTGAAAGAGGGTAGATTTAGCTTAGATAGAAGGAAGAAATTCTTCCCTGTGAGGGTGGTGAGACCCTGGCACCGGTTGCCCAGAGCAGCTGTGGCTGCCCCCTCCCTGGAAGGGTTCAAGGCCAGGCTGGACGGGGCTGGGAGCAACCTGGTCTAGTGGAAGGTGTCCCTGCCCATGGGGGTTGGAACTAGATGATCTTTAAGGTCCCTTCCAACCCAAACCATTCTATGATTCTATGTTTCTAAGATTTTATTTGAAAAAGCCACCAGAGCGAGGATGGGCGCAGCTGTTCACTGCAGCTTCACAGCACCCACATCAGGAATGCTTTCAGAAGGGTTTGTTTCTGAAGATGAACATCATAAGTTGAAAATAGATAGGAAGAATGCTGACTGTGTTTGTTGCATCACCAGCTCTCAGGGAGGGAATTGTGAATTCCTTGTAAGATCTGATGAGACCACATCACCATCATCTGGACTCTGAATAAATAAATGAATGTTCGAAGTGGCAGGAATCAATCTTCTCTGCAAAAGCTAGTGTAGATTTTTACTGAAGGTCTCTCGTCATATACTGATCGGTCTGACAAGATCACAGGGGACGATACCTGGTTTCAGCTACAAAAGACAAGTTAATGTCAGGAGTGCTAAGCAAACTTAATATGTTCCAAAAGTCTAGAAAGGACATAGCAACTCAAAAACTCTCTGTACATAAAAAAAGGCAGAAGAAAACCTACAGGATAGAAGAGCTATTGGAAGAAAGCAAACTTTGAATGCTACTCAGAAAATCATTGTAGTGGAAAACCAGTATATAACCATTTGTGGAGTTTTGCTGAGAGTCTAATATGGAGACCCAGTGACAAGTATATTGTGTAGCTCCATAAAATCAGAAAAGCAAAAGAAACCTTAGACTTCTGACTTACTCCCTCAGGCACGCTGTACTGAAGTGCAGTGTTCTGTCTCAGCATACATTTGTACATTTGTATCCTGCAAATATCTGGCAGGATCTTCAATGGTCTTAGTCAGCAGTCATCGCCTCTGCACTGGTGTCAGAAAACGTTTCAGTTGGTGTGTCTGCTTGCAGTGTGACCTGGACTTAGTGACATTCACTGCTGGATTTCCCTCGTGACAGGGAGAGACTTGTTAAAGCAAATTCTCTGCACCTCTGTGTATCTGTAAGGCAGCTAGTGTCCTTAGCAGGCTCTTAAACATGACATAGCATTTAAGTACCAAGCTGCAGGGTGGGGGAAATTCATGTATCTTGTCTCTAAGAACTTGATATGTTCCTTATACCAACACAGTATATTGCAGACATTTGTGAGATCCCACAGGTATCTTCCTTAGAGAAATCAGATCTCAGCGTAGAGAGATCTGTTGCTTATTAGACCATTTGATAAATCAGTTATTTGAGTTGTTTGTTAATATTTCTGAGTTTGGATACAGTTACTAAAAGCAAAGTTTAATACTGCTTTCAAGGACAGACTTCTTAAGCATTTGTAATTCTCACTGTGCCTCTGTAAACTGGAATGTTATTATTTCAGCATAACTTTTTAAACACCTGTTGTCACTTCCTTTGTTACTAACTCCAAAGAATTTGCCTCAGAAATGTTTTCTCTACAGTCTAAAGTTGTGTAAGATCTTTGAAAGAAGGAAGATGATGATCAAAAGCACCCTGTTACAATTATGTCCATTACAGCAACTACTTGATGTAGAATTAATCACACTGTCAGATGGATGTTGCATGCAATATTTTCCTATTGCCAAAAATTAGCACCCAGGATGTGTAAATAAAATCCTGAATTGTTTCCTAAGACTATCACTACTGTTACATATATAAAAAATGTCCCATTTAAGTAAGAAGCATATATTCCTCAGCCTGAAACTAGGAGATTCTGAGGCACTTTGCATAGTTATTTTTAATGTACATACTATATTGTTGACATGATATATTTATCAAATAATTTAGGCATTTTATTTTATAACTGTTACCTTCACCTTTATTGCAATCTTTGTTACTACAAAGAGAGAAGCTGATAATACCACATAGGTGTTTATTTCCTTTTTCTATATTAATATTTTAGTATTTAATAACTTTTGAATCAAGATAATCATACTCTATCAGTATTTAGCTGTTGTAACAAAGGCACACCTCCATAGATGGATACAGATGCACCTGATTCATTCTGCCTGTGCTCAGAATCCAAGCCAGACCTTCTCTGAGAGCCAGAGCCCACTTGGGTCAGTGCTGAATCTAATCTATTTAATCATGCTGAGATACCACTGGGGCTCAGAAATGCACCAACACAACATGTGGCTTCTTGACTGGAGCTGTTTCACATCTGAATGGTGGGAGTACAGACAATTTCAGCTGGCGTCTGTCTCCGTTTGCTGGGTGTATGTTGTCTAAGAGAGCTTGAGTTAGAAAAAGAATCAAAAGAACCCGCTTTTTTCTTCTTTTGCTGAAAGAGAGATTTCAGGCATGTCCCTACCAGCTGTGTGCTGCTCAATTCTTTAGGCACAGTTACAGGGAATGTCACTCTTTTAAAAATTAACTGCCTCTATAGCATTTTGTTTTCTCTTATTTTATGATCTAACACATACTCCTGCTCCTTTCTCTTAAACAGGACTGCCAGAGAGATGCTGCAGAAATCAGCAAACACTAAATCTTTATCAGAGAGATCCTCCTCTCTCCCACACTGTGTACCATTCTCATGGTATGGAGAGAGTGGCAAGGGATCCAATTCTTCTAGCAACCTGCCATCGCCTACCAGCTCAACTGAACCTTCCTCTGAAAATATAAGTCCAGCTAAAAAAGGGTCAAAGGTAGAAAATAAAAACTACCTTATTCCCACTGTGTTGAGTGGCATAATTGGCTTCATGTTTCTGGAAAAAGAACAGGCCAATATGTGACTTCTACAATAAACAGTGCATGGTGTTCATTGTACGGTAAAAGTTCATCCAAACAGAACATCTCTGTCATTGTACCATTCCACATTCTACCTTTTTACTCTGTCTTAATGTACATTAATTCAGTAAACTAACTGTGGTATGCTGTACCATAGCAAAAGCAAGTGGTGCCAGTCGAAATTAGCATTTGGATCCACTGAACAAATGCTAGATTTGTCTATTCAATTACAGATACTTTCTGCATTCTTCAGAATTGATTGTGGGAATACGTGCCCATGTTCAGATGAGGTGTTTGCAAGTGAAGAAATGCTGTATGTCGTCAGTCATCTGCCTTTTTTCCCCCCAATAATGAAATGTTTGTCATGCATGCTGGATGTTGGATTAATTCTCTATATGAAGATGCTTGAACTGTAAATATGAACTATTGAAATTTAATACATCTGTGTGATTCCTTTCTATGTGCATGAATGTTTCAGCATGATAACTCCTTACATAACCCGTAGATTTAGTAATATACTTAGCTTTTTCATGTTTATTTTCTCTTCTGGAAAATATTTCTTTGCCTGTATCTTCTTATAACTTGTAGCAGTTGACTTTTTATATTGATCTGGTAAAAAGAAACAGATATGATTCTCAACTTTATATACAAGAATATGAATCAGAAATCTAATTTCTCTGTCTTCTACAAACACATACTTACACATAATAACATTTTCCACAGGCATTTCTTACTCTTTTGGTGCCAAAAACTGGTGATACCTTACTTCTGCTGTGCACCAAGCTGTGCAAGGTCATAACCATGCTTGTGTTACCTGGTAGGGAGAGCAACACAAATCTGACCAGTCAAAATCTGATTGATAGAGAAGACCCCAGACGAAATCTCTGAAGTTTAAAGAGAAACTAATCAGTCACCCAGTTTCTTTTGAAACAGAAAGATGAGGGATGAGGATTAGACAAGTAAATCCTATTTGTGCCTTTAAACAAATACTATATAAAAATAATTTTCAGATGGGGAAAAAAGCACCCCCTTTTACAGTTAGGTTGATGTTGGAGGGGCATTTTGTTCTGCCGTTATAATTATTATCAGGCCTTGACAATCTTGTGTTTTCCAATAGAAAATTAAATTTCAAAGGCTTACATTCATTGTAAGGCTGACGCTTGCACAAAATAGAGGTGAAAGAAAAATCAGAGTACTTAAAAAAGAAAAAGATGTTCTTCACACAACAGGAGGTAGAGCTGTTGAACTCCTGGCCTAAGAACACTGTGGGGGCTAAAAGTTTGCATATTAAGGAAGCTTCTCCTCTAGAAGGAGTTGGAAAAGCAGAACAGGAATTCTAAACATAGGTGTGAGAAAACTGATCACAAACACATTTTTATGTTCTCTGTAAAGTTTGCAAGCTCTTAAATTCACAGTTCCCATACTGCTATTCAGGTTTTTAAAGCACGGTGTGATACTGATATTTGGTTAGATTTCCAGCAAAACTAAGAGGACCAACACTTAATATTTTTGCGAGGCTTCTCGTTTTCAGGAAAGATAGGTCAAATATCTTTAGAAGGGCTAAAAGGATAACATTTTTAGTATTCTTTTTGGTTTTGATGTTTGGATCCATTTTTTTAAATTGAATGTCAAAGGTGAATTGAATTTGATATCCATTAGATGTTAGAGATTAGAGGTCTCTGTATCATCAACTCTGTATCTAAGTTAAATGGAATATCATGGTGTCCTTAATTTTTTATAGACTTTGGTTTTTTATGGTTCTCACTCCAGTATAAAATACTTGTTAATTTTTGTCTTATTCTGATGGTAATTTTGCTGTATTACTGGAAAATATGTGCATGCTTTTGCTATTCCTTGCTGTAAGGTGTGATGTCTGTCATTGCATTGTTAAGAAAACACAGGGTTTGTTTTATGATTATTAGTTCAGTAAATAACATTCAAAATCCAAAGATCTCTCTTACTTTCAATTTCAGGTTTTTTTCTAAAGGTATAGGCAAAGAGGGAGGATCCTTTCACTTTTCTAGGAGATTATTTGGGACTCAGAAATGGATTCACAGGATATTCTCCTTGCTCTTTCAGTAGCAGTTTTCACTTCTCTCTGCTAATTAATCTTCTGTCCTGTTCTTTGTGCTACTGCCTGTGCTACGCTTGTCCTAAATATCTGGAGGACAGTAAAATGCTAGTGATTAACCCATGGAAGCAGTAATTTAGCTCCAGGATGAGAGCCAGCATCTTAAGAGGGAGTCTGGAAATTGCTTTCAGACTTCTTTGCTATTCATTGCATCATTATGCTGGCAAAGCTGCCTCTTGAAGTACACAGTGGTAAAACTACTGCATATTCTATAAATATTAACAATACTAAAAATTAGGCTTCTTCACGTGTATTGTAACTGGTTTGGTAAATGATTGAGATCACTCCTGAAGTATGCCAACCTGGAAGACAGAAAGCAGATTTTCCTTTTAGATGCACATACGAGATCGTTTGTTCATTCTAACTCATCTTTCTCTCCACAGAATTTCACATTCAACGATGATTTCAGTCCCAGCAGCACAAGTTCAGCTGATTTGAGTGGTTTAGGAGCAGAACCTAAAACCCCAGGTTTCTCGCACTCCTTAGCACTGTCATCAGATGAGGTATGCTGATGAAGTTGTTTAAGGTGGGAAATAGTTGTTTTCTTTCTCCCATGCCATGTTACTTGATAATAATTTGAATAATAAAGGGATATTTTTAGCCCGTAGAATGGGAGAAGAAAATGAATTTCGGTTTCTAGATTATGATTTTTCTTGTTCATATAATAATGACTTGAAATAAAGGTCCTATGGTATTACTGTAAGAAAGTAGAATGCAGTTGGTTTCCTAAGAGATGCTATATCCTCACACATTTCAATACATTTTCATACATTCTAAATATGTACATGTGGACCCGTAGATACATTTACATACACTAAACTAGACATAATTGAGACAGTTTTGAGGTAATAAGCATACAGTGTGGTTTGGTAAATATAGTTGAGATGTAAGGCAACTTCACCTAGACTAATTTTTACCCTGATACATTAAAATAATAATGACCTGTACCTGCAGGAATTGTGTGTTACTGTACTTGGATGTATGTATATTGATTAGCACGTATATGTGTTAATCCACTTTACATTCTTTGTGCTTGCTTTACACAGTGGATTTGAATTCAGTTACTTCAAACCAGAGTTTTTTCAAACAATGATAATGTGAAAAAGCATTCCTAACCCTGAAAATTGGTGACATAATTGAGCTGAATATAATACATTGAAAATACTTTTTAAAGATACTAATTTTGTAACTCAGTTGTCAGTGAATTCACACAATTTGACAGTGGCTGACAGCGTGTCCTGTGTGCTCAGGAAACCTGTACCTTTATTCTTTTACAAACACTCCATAAGAACTTCACATTTTTCATGTGAGGTTTGAGCCAGGTTTTTTCTTCTAGAGAGGAGTTGTTTGAAGTATCCATGTCTTTTTTTTTTTTTTTTTTTAGTGAGTTAGTCTTGTTCTATTACTGCCTGCATGTTTTGCATGGGTTTAAAGAATGAGAGCTGTTCCGTGCAACCCCATTTGCCAAAATGCAAGCCTACAAACTCAACCATTCTTTAGTTGTTACTTACTGCGGGCAATAAAGGGCAAAAATTTATATTATAGGAGAGTGCAGACAGGTCTGTATATCATATGAATTCCTGAAAACAACAAAGTAATCATTGACACTTTGTTTAGTATTAATACTGTCTAGATAATACATTTCATTATCTTACCACGTTTCATTCCCCTTATGTATTCTATTGTGCCAATGCCTTCTTCCCAGTGGTATTGAAGTAAAAGCTTGAAAATGCTTTCATTTCGCTTGTTCAGCTCTCTATCACTTCTAAAACATCAAGCCTGATCAGGCCTATAAAAATGAATGTGTTTTCACCATCCTCTGCTGTGTGCCAAACTGCAGCCTGCGAATCAGGCGGCGTGTTGAGCAGGAGCTGCCGTGGGAACCTCCGCAGCCGCCCCGGCAGGGGATTCGGCTGGTGCTGCCCTTCAGCCTCCCCTAGCACATTGCTGCAAGCGCCCCTTTGCTCAGGCTTCTCTGGCAGATCTGGCATGGTTATCTGAAGGAGACGGGGAAAATGAAAGGGTGGGGAGGGAACCCAGTTCCTGCAGGTTGTTCTCCTCCAATTAAGGAGCTTTTGCTCTTGGGATTGGAGCCATCAGGAAGGTTCCCACCGGTTCTAGGGTGTCAAGACCAGGAATTCCAAGGGGGTTTCATTGACACAGTCTCAGGTTTAGCTGCCAAATCATGTGTGTGCTGAGCTTTCAACATAACCTCTCTGCTTCTGGAGATAATTTTTTTTAAAGAAATCTCTTTGGTTTTGAGTAGCCATATCTGTTTGCAAATCTTGGTGCTGCCCTTGCCTGAACTTTTACATGCTGTTACATGTTCTGTATTTTGTTTCTATAATGCTTTTCTTTCCCATTTCTTTGTTGCTCCCTCACTCAGAGCCTGGATATGATTGATGATGAGGTGAGATACTAGTGTGCTGTTGTGGTGAATCGCGTGGCGACGTACTGTCTCATTTGCAGATTCACGTTTCTTGTTTTACGGTGTTGTGTAGCAAACCCCCTTGTTCGAGCAGAACACACAGATGTCACTGGCTCCTCTCCCCTTGTCTTGAGTTCCCCTCTCCTTTCTGCTAAGAGTTTCCAAGGCCATAAGAAATTGCAGTTTTTGCAGTATGCTGGAAGGGGGAGGAGGGTCAGTGTCAGGGAAAATCCACCAGGCCAAGCATCAGCTGCACTGAGCTCCTGCTGGCAACAGGAGAAGGAAAAGACAGTGCTGAACCCGTCTTTTCCCCAGCCCTGAGAACTGGACAGCCAGAGGCTGAGGAAGCCCCCAGCATCATCTAACTCAGTGTAAAAGCTGCTCTAACAGCAGACAGCTGCTGCAGCCTGTAGCAGCTGCTTTGCTGACCATGGCTGGGACAGAGTAGCTGTTGTTTCGGGCCCCACTAGCATACCCCTGGGTGGAATGAAGTGGCAGAGCGGGAACACAGGGCTGCTCCAGCAGCTGACACCCCACCTGCCCCTCCAGGTGCTGTGTTTGTGCTCTCCTCCTCCTCCTCTTCCTCCTCCTCCTCCTCCACAGCAGCAACAGCAGCAGCAACAGCACAACGTGATGAGAGCAGGGCCAGGGCTGTGGGATCGCTGTGTGTTCCTTACCGCTCCTCTGTGTCATCTCATAGTCTTCCATAGATAGTATCGGCTTCACTGGCTGTTTGTTGTTGTCACTTGGAACTTTAGAGTGGTTTTCTGAGGCTTTTTTTTCCCTTTAATTTCTTGTTTTATAGTTTAAACACATCATAAAGATCTGCAAATGAGCCCAGGAGGTAGAATGCAGAATTCATTGCATCCTTCAGAAATGTTCTAATTTGAAGGATAAAAATCTTGCAAGGGAATGGGAGCTTTTGAATTGTGCCATCTGGCCATTTCAGTCCTTGTTTGGGTTAAAAGGAATGCCAGTTCCTTTTTCTTCTTCTAGTTATAAATAAAAGACTTTTTGGATACCTTGCACCAATTCTTAGATAACTGGTTAGATACAGATGTAATATACTGGTGTGAAATTGTTACTATTGTAGTTTAAAGATAGTACAGATGCCTCTGTTCTGATGCTGGCGGTTTGTACAGAAAAATGTTGTTATTCATCCATGTTACCCTTTTAATAATAATGCAGCATGGTTTTGTCACAGATCCTTGATGATGGACAGTCTCCTAAGCACAGTCAGTATCAGAGTCGTGCTGTTCAGGACTGGAGCGTGCAGCAGGTTTCCCACTGGTTAATGAGCCTGAACCTTGAACAGTATGTTTCTGAATTCAGTGCCCAAAACATTAACGGGGAGCATCTCCTTCAGCTGGATGGGAGTAAGCTCAAGGTAATCAACCGACTGGACTTCAAGACTAACTGTAGTATTTGTTGTCACATTAAGTAATCTTAAAGAAAGTAAGGGTTTGTCCAGAAAGCAGTGAATCCCTGTGCGTGGAGTGGGGATAGACTAGAATAATAAACACAGAGTATAAAGCCACAGCAACACTTTAAGAAATTCCCATATGCACATGGATTCAGAAGCTTCAGAAATAGAGGGCATTTGCTTTGTGAAAACTCTGGGTGTATATGATGTACCCATATTTGCATGCGTAAATCATACAGCAGCATGTATAAGTGGTATTTGCATGCACATATTTCTCATCCAGCTCTGTTTTGCAGAAGGGATGATTCAGGGAAGATAGTAAATAGACATACATCAGAAGTAGCAACTGAAAAATGGATTAGTGGGATACTGGAGGCATAAGCTGATACCAGTTGTACTATGTTAGAACTAAATACAGTTTTGAACTTTTGACTAAGGCATAGCAGTGAGAATTGGGAAGTCTTGTACTATGTAGACTTAGATGACTTCAGGCAAATAGTTGAATCTTTATTTTCCTCATTTAATCAATGAAATCAACATTGGTGGTGGCAGTGAGATCGCATTCTTTAATATTCTGGAAGTGGAAAGCATGGAAAGTAGTGCAGAACTGCATTACTTATACATTAGTAATGCATGTGAGTCTGTCTCAGACTTGCTTTGTTGCTATAGTCTTCTACCTAAGAAGAGTTATTACTAGAATATGAAAAAAAATACATTACATTAAATTGTTTTTTTTTTTTTTTTTTCCCCACCTCAGGCTCTTGGTATGACATCTTCCCAGGACAGAGCAATCGTTAAAAAAAAGCTAAAGGAAATGAAAGCATCCTTGGAGAAAGCTCGCAAAGCTCAAGAGAAAATGGAAAAGCAAAGGGAAAAGCTTCGGAAGAAGGAACAAGAGCAACTGCAGAGAAAATCGAAGAAAACAGACAAGTCTTCATCAGATGCAACAGAGGGCACTAATGAGCAGTGATAAGCAGAAGTGCTGCTGTGTTAGGAGAGTGGAGGCACTTCAAGGGAAGAGAAACTCCTATCCACTCTGGTGCCCCTTCAGCTTTCTTGTATTCATTACACAAGAGTGTGTACAGAGAAATGGGGCTATACATAGAATGACTAGGGAAATTTATATTGTGTAGTTTTATTTTCCTGCGTATCCAGTTCACGCTCGTTGCTGTTGCCATGTGAAACAACCCCAGCCCCTCAGTTTGTTTTGTTGTTGTTGACAGCTAACAGATTTCATACTTGTGTGGCAGTGTTTCCTTCCAAACTACTCTTCTCTATTGAGCTCTATGTGTTTGGTCACTTCAGTAACCAGCATGATGCCGAGGAGCATGGTCTACTGCTTCACCTCTTCTGAATAGGATGGCCAGTCTAAATGATTGGTGAACATTTCTTCAGCTGGGTAAAAGGAATTGTGCTCTGTCTGATAAGAGTTGACTTAATTTTCTAACTGGAAGTTCAGCTTCTTTATGGGGTTTGGGTACTCAGTTCTGTCTGCCGGAGTAAGTTTCATCGTGCATCAGTACCTTGAAGTGACACTGCTCTGGAAACACAACTGTTCAGTGACTTCTTATACACTGGAGATAAAGACAGGAGAGTCAATATCCCCCCTGGGTAAAACACAGGAGGTGAAACTCTTTCTGTTAACTGTACAATAGTTAATCCAGGAAGGAGGCAAAGCCTTAAATGATTATGTGGGTTTACACAGAAATCTGAGGATAACATTTATCCTTTACATATATGAGCAAGGATGAATTTCTAACTAGAGCACAGCGTATAGATCTGTATAAATTTCATTGTGCTCCCAGTGTGTAGGCAACTTTCTTACAGCACACTCTGCTTTCTTTTTCACATGTTTTGAACAGGAAACTGGGCTTCTTTTGTTTCGGGTTTGTTTTTTCCAGGAAAAACACCACATCTTCAGTTTGATTCTCCAATAAGCTTTGTGCTGTGCTGTTATGAAGCTGTTATTGGAAATGATTATCAAATTGAGTCTGCTGAAGATTTTCAGTTTTTACAGAAGTGCACTTTAAGAAGAGGAAGACGAGGGATTCTGGTTAGAATTAAATTCAGTACATTGCTGTTAAGATCCATGCTGCCATGGAGGTGATGATTACGAAATCCACAGCTGCCATATATGAACTGTTTTGATTGATGTGTTTAAAGAATATGCCCACCAAAACCTGAATTTTTGGGCATAGGCTAGAGAATGTATTGATGGCTTAGCAGTGGTCATGTTACATCTGTCAGAGATTTCTGTTTTCCTGGTGTACGGGGCCATTGGCAAAGCCTGCTGCATAGTTTTTACTATGACAGAAGCAGTGTATAGCTTGCACTGCATGGTGTTACTGCCTCTTAAAAGCGGTATTAAAATATTCGATATTTCTTCAAAAGAATGGACAGACAACAGGCAAATATCCACAATGAGAAGCTAGAGGTATTAGCTTACTGTTTTATAGTCAAAGCTAACTACATAGCAGCATTTATAGTTGAGAAACATCCCTTCTCTTTCATGCATCCTGGAAGTTGCAGTCTTCTTCCGGTCATGCCAGCCCATAAATCGTTTAACATGTTGATGCAAAGTTAGAACCTTGAACTTAAAAATTTGCCAGACTAAAAAATGCAAATATTTAATTCTTTTGAAGAAAATGTTTTGTTTTGGCTTGGTTTCTCTTCTGCTCTGTGCTTTATGGCATTCAGATTTGTGTCTGTAAAGCTCTCTGAAGCCCAGATTTGAAACAGTTGGTGTGCAATGTTTATGGTTAAATTTCTTTTGATCCTAATTATTTCTTTGACGTATAAAATGATTTGTAAACTGAGAGAGCCTAGTTCATTCAAAATTAATACACAACAGATCTACTTAGCATTAGCTGTATTTTTCCTTCCAAATCCAATTTCTACAAGTTTCTGATGTATATTTTATTCAGATCTAAAACCAAAATTGCTGTAAAAGATACTTCCTGCTATTTCTAAAGGCTTGTGATATTTTTCTTGAGATAGACCACTGGCAAAAAAATATACCTGCTAACAAGAATTCCACATTGCAGTGAATTTTTCTGTGCTCTTTGTAGGAGAAAAATTATGCAAATGTTTATCAGCCTCATAAAACTAGAATTCTGTTATTTTAGGAGGTTATCAGTTTATGTTTGAGTAAGAGAAGTTACCTGGAAGAAACTGGAAATATAATATTTTAAATACAATGATGATAAATGTATTCAATGATGATTTTATTTTTAAAATATGTTTACATTGTAGTAATGTTTAAGTGGTTGTATATAGTGATCTAAGGTGGTGTCCCTGTTTTATGTTGTTTTCTTAGAAACCTGAGCAGACTGCTTGGCATTACACACTGAGTTTTCATTCTTGCTGCTTAGAACAGTGCCGAGTTGATCTCTTCGTAAATCAGATTCTTATTCTGCAGAATAGCTAATTTGACTTAAGTCCTTTAAGTATTCAGGGGGTTTTTATTGCTTTGTGGTAATGTTATTTTGTTATTCTCTGACTAAAAACAACAAAAACCTAACTTTAAAAAAAGTGGTAGCTTAAATTTAAAATTAAACCATAAAATGCATTTTGATCAACACATGAAAGCTAAGCAAAGCAAGCAATGTCAAGAATTTTGCTCTTCTTTCTGTGATAGAAGAGATTTATGTGGTTCCTTTTATTAAGTATGGTAGCTCATTGTTGGAATGTGCAGAAATGTCACTGGATAACAGATGAAGGTAGCATGGTTTGAAACTTCTGTTACTGTTCTACAGGACCTTTGAAGTTTTGTTGCATTTTTTCCCCTTGTATTGTGTAATGACATACATGAAACAGAAGATACGGATATCCCATCATTCTTAAACTTTCTGTAAACCAATGCTAAGTCAGACTAATGTGGGGTTTTGATGTAATAAGAAGAAACAGATATTCCATGCTAAATAACTGGAAAGCCTTTTCTCTTTTGGCTTACCTGCAAATGTAACTGTTGCCTATTTTTGCGTATTTATTTGTGGAGCTAAAGCAGTTTTGAGGATGCTGACTTGCCTGGCCATCTTTGAACTGCTGTGCAGGCAGTGTGGTGGTTCCACGCCTCTAGCCATCTGTGTCTGTGTCATCTTTACACCTAGGTGAAAATTAGGGGAAGTTGGCAAGAATTAAGTCTCATGTTGATTTCTTAGCTGTGTGTTTACAGAGAGAAAATACTGTCAAGGCAAAAATCAAACCTGATCTTGCTCTTCTTAGGTGTGGCCTCATCCCTTGCACTATCATCAAACAAAGTGATAAAGGGGCTGGACCCTTTCAATAGCATTTCCCTCATCTTGTGCTTCCCCTCACTTGAAAACCTCAGGAAACCTATGTTATGGTCCAAAATACTGGAAAACCAGGCACTTGAAAAAAGCAGCACAGATTTAATTAAGTTGTACGCCTTCAACAGAGAGTTACAGACTCTGTGTCTCAGCAGAGTGCACAGAGCAGTTAGCTGGTTTTGGTTTAGTTTTGTTAAATTGGTGATTGAAAATAATGAAATCAGTCTTTCTAGAAATGTTAAAGAGATTTGTGGCTTGATTCTCTCTTTAAATAAACACGTATGGTTTTGTGTGTGTACATGCATATCTACATACGTGGATACCCAATTCACCTTGCACTAGTAGCAGTTGGCATGTCAGTAGCTGTGCGAGCTCCGACGAGCGGAGCACTGCCCCTCGGTCTCACCAGCGTGCTCACCCTCTCTGTGCCAGTAGCTTTGCTCACTCTTGCCTTGTGGGGTTTTAAGTATTTTGCGGATCAGAAGATTTTTTAAAGCTTTGTTAGGACTGGATATAGAATGGTCCTCTGCAGGCCCTTCTGCATGTCATCCTCAGGCTGTTTTTTGGGGGTGGGAGATTGGTGGGATTGATTCATTGGAGTGTCGGTATTCTAGGAAGGAAACCCTTTTTTATATTTTTAACCCTAACTTTGTTTTTTATTAGAGCACTTTCAACAGCTTGTTTTTGAGCAGGATTATGAGTGACATCTGAGGTGACTTACCCTCTCACCATAGTGGAGTGTGGGTCACCTGCAGATTGCACAGTCCCTTTTGTTAACCCCCATAGGGATTTTACTGTACTTTTTCCGCCTGTAAAACTGATTTTCCAAAGCTGTGACACCTTAGGAATGACACTGAGCCCCCCAGTCCTTCGCTATAAAATGAGCTTTCTGTTACTTACTGGCAGTACTGATACTTTTGCTGTTGGCATTAAGTAATGGTTTCAGAAATGCGTGTCATGCTGGAAGGCTTGGCGGTGGTGCTCGGAGCTGCCCGTTTCTTTGGGAAGTTCGGGCTGTGTTAAGAACAAGCCGTAGGGTTTGTGAAACGTGCTCTGCTGAGTTAGGCAGGTTTCTTCTTCCAGAGTGAGGAGAGGTGAGGCAGGCTTGCAGCTTGTGGGATCGGGTCCAACCCACGTAACCCAGGAGCCTGAGCTTCCTGACGGGTTTCTGGTGGGAGCTTTGTCACTGACACCAGTGGAAATGGGTTCAGGCCCCAGTGCAGAAGCATCTAAAGGAAAGGGGGATCCCAGAGTACCAGATACGAGGAGTAGCCAACCCATTTGGAAGTGGGGAGTGCACAGTCAGCCTCTTCTGACTCTATACTTTTCCATACACATTTACTGTCTGAACAACTGCTTTTGTATTTTCCAGTCATGTTGCAATGGTAACTCACTGGTCACTGACATGTGTTAGATATATTGCTAGAAGACCAGGCAGCTAAAAGACTAAAATGCACTGTGCTCACTGTAAAAATTGGCTTCTTACATTGTTTCTTTTTATATGGTTGAAGAGGTGGTTGCGCTTCAGATTTTTTCCTTTTGCTTTTCTTTTTCTAAAGAGGTCAAATGTATATGAAGTGCATGTTATCCTGAACTTTTTGTTTGTACATCTTGGTGTCTGATCATCTGCATGAAGGACACAGTGGTGCCATGTCTGAGCTTGTTCTCTTGTGCTTGGTTGATAGAAACTTCTCTAGATTGTTGAGTTTTCCTCAAAATAACTTTGGTTAATATTTAGTTATTGGGAGACATCAAAACAAAACATCATGGTGGCCCCTTGTTTTCTTACAGTTTAAATATAAACAACAAAGCCTTGTGGTTTAAAGTTAATTTGTTAGTGTAAATAAATTTCTTGCCAATGAGTATTATTGTTGTTAGACAACGAATGCAATAAAACGAGAAATCCTGAATCTTTATTAGAATTTGTATTGAGTCCTCACTTTCCTGTCTGCTTCTTGGTCATTTCAGAAGAAATAATAGATGGTGAGCATGACAGGACAGCTGTTGCTCATGGGTCAGGTAGGACAGGGACTTTGACCTGATTGGTCTTTCCTTCCTTCTGCTCAGTGCTGAAGATTATTTTAACTCCAGCTCTCGGCCGTATTGGCATCAGTCACAGGCCTCTGAGTAGATCTCATTTACAATCTGTAATTATATAAACAGAAGTTAAAAAAAAAAAAAAGAGTAAGGAAAGAGAATGGCCTTTTTTCTTCATATGCAGATGAAATGTAGTGTGCAATCTTTTGCAGCAGGTTGATGTAAAAAGAGGCTGCCTTCATGCCGATGATGGTCAACATTTGTCAGTTTAAAAGACCTGGATTAGTTTTGGTATATAAAAACATTTTACCATTTTACACTCAAATGTAGGTTAGTTATAATGGACCTTTTATGTATTCAAAGTATAGCAGTTCTTCTGCTGAGCATTTAATATGTCTTTATTTATTTGATTTTAATAAAGGATTCAATTAGGGAAAAGCAGAGGGCACAGACTGTCCGATTTGTGTAGTCATTTCAGTGGATTTACATCTGGCAGAATCTAGGCCAAATACTCTGCACTTAATCTGTCTAACACTGTCTGTGTTTCTCAACCGCTGAATCATCTTTCCGCTAATATGACCACCACCTGCAAGAAGATAAAAGAATCCTCAATCCATAAAATTATTATCTTAATTAAAATAGGTATATTAAGGAGGCTGTAAGTCCACGTGTGACATGTAAAATGTGTCTGCTCAGCAGCTTCCTCAGCCTGGAGCCATCTAGGCATATGTCCTTGTTTGTGCAAGTTGTCTCAGATACCTGCAGTTTTGTTTCTAAAATGCCCAGAACTGCTCCAGACTCTGTAGCTTGTAAAAGATGATGGGTTATGCCCTCCTTGGGGTTGCAAGTCCCGATTTTCCCTGTGCAGGTTACTTTGTAATTGGGAGGCCAGGCTTGAGGTGCATCTTCCTCCGCTGCTGTTTCTCCACTGAGGCTGCCAGTGAGTTTTATCAAGGGGTGATTTCATGCCGAGGGGTAGAAGCAGCACTCCAGCATTGCTTTTGCTGCAAAATGCATGCTTGCTGTTTCTGGCCTGCCAAGCACCACTTTAATGCACAGCGGCCCAGCTTCAATTCCCACCTCTGCACTGCGAGGCTGGGACACCCTTAGAGGAGGTTGGCAATGGGCTTCCAAATCTTCTTGCCTTGGGTTAAAATTCAAAATTGTTCTGTTAGTAGTAGCAGGTACTAAGTCCTACCTACAACCTCTCAAATACCTTAGGAAAAGGTAAGGCTGGTTGCTTGCACATGCTTCTGTCTGCAGGCAGACTGCTGGGAAAACCTTCAGTACAGCAATACTTTAAAAAAGAGGAAAAAAAAAGCCAGTGACAAGTGAACACATTCTTTATTATCTGAAAGGCCAAAACCAACAAAAAACTAGAAGTTTGACAAGATCCAACACGTAGATTTGCTCAACTGAAGATGTTCTAAGCTACTGGAAAGCATGAAGTTAATGTTTTGATGGGTTACTTCTGCAAATGCTGAGGGAAATGCTGGCTGTTACACTTCTACAACCAGAGAGCAAATCCAGGACCAGCGACTGGTCAGTATTTCAGCTGTGTTACTGCCACTGCTGCAAAATGCTAACTCTAGAAGATGGCACTTAATTTACTTGAGAATAAATAGTGGCACAAGCCTAAAATAATTATTTTTAAATGCTAGTGGAGAATGTGGCTAATCACAAACAAGTTAATAGCCCAACCTCTCCTTATTGTGAGAATTTCCTTCAGGGCAGTTTTTTTTTTTTTTGATTGGGTTCTGGGAACAACGTCTGTTCAAGGCTGAAAATGGGTTACAAGTCCCTGTAGGAAAGCACGCCACTTCCCAGAGAAGCTGCAAATGTCCTGCGGGGACAGAAGTTGCTAAGGAAGGAGTGGCAAAGCCAGAGTTACAGTAAATTACATTCTTGAGTGCTTGGTTCAGTCAGCTGATGCCAAAGGCAAGTCCAGCAAAGAAATGAGACAAAAGCTGCCCTCCTTCAGGGCCAACCCTGCGCTGTGGAAGGGCTCTCTGCACACCATGGTTAGCAAACGACTTGAAACCATGATCCAAACAGGTGAGTCCCTGTCACCAAAGCTTTCATAGGCAGACGGTAAACCCTGGGCAGGACTCAAGCCCCCAGATCAACTCTGGGCATTTTGGAAAGGAGCTATGAACGTAGTTTGTTCATAGACCTACTAAGGCAAGGCTGTGCCCAAGAGAAGGTCAATTAGCTGCATGGTTAACCCTAAACTCAAGTCTCCCCCTCTCTCCGTTACGAGAGCCCTGCAGCATGTGCTATTTGTATACAAAACATCACAAATACCACCAACTGCTATTGCTGCGCGGGGTGAAAGAGTTGTCTGTCCTGGCAGCGATGGGAAACTGCCGGCATCAGGAATGGTGCAGCGACTGAGCCAGCATACCCCTGGCTCAGTTCATAAAACCTCACACAACTTCTTGCACCCAGGGACGTGCCTTACACTACAGTGTCTGTGCCAGTGAGCTGGTGGCGGCACGGGGACTCGGGGGGAGCAGACACTCCCTGGGGATGGGAGATGATGTGGCAAGACCCACAGCCCCCTGGAGCTCTGCAAAGGAAGGGGGATGGTACTGTCCCTCCCATACAGCCCCAGCCACAAGCCCTGGCACCGACTCCTTGCTCTGGTTAGAGCTGTCCCTTTCCCTTGGAGAAGGAGCAGCAAGTCCTTTATACCAGTGGATGAAAGCCATTAGGCTTGTTTGTGTTAGAAAGGAAAGGTGCAGGAGCCAAGAGGTGTCAGCACAGACACTTGCTGTTCAGGGCCACTGCTTACCCAAACCTTGGCCCGCAGTAACGCCTCCTCTCAGCCAGAACCACAAAACCCAAAGACAAAGGTTTGCACATGCTCTGGCTCCTGTCTCAGTGTTCAGGCCACTACAGAGTAGATTATTTGCTCTGTCTTATACACAGAAGCACTCCTGTGTTTTTAAAGTACAGGACTTTCCATATACTCTCCAGATTAGAGGGGCCATGGCTGGTGGTGAAGCAGATTGCAGGAGGGAACAGCAAAGCCAGAGTAGCAACTAGCACCCAGCGACTGGCTCTTTCTCCTCCCCGAGCTCACGGTTCACGAGCAGCCTGCCTTTTTTCTTCACACAGTGGTGGGAGAACAGCAGAGAGGAAATGCTACTGCATCAGCTGAGGGATGCAGAGGGGCTGGTGGTCCCTGGGCAGGTCTGTCTGGTGACACCATTTGGAGGGGCAGCCAAGCTGCTGAGCAGCAGCAGTACAGGCAGCACAGCAGCAACCCCACAGGGGAGCTGCCACCGATAACACAGAGCCTTTAGTGGAGTCAGCATCTCTCACAAAACCAGAGCAGTGATGAGAAGTGGGAGCTCAGAGGACAAAAAGAGCAGCAGGATCTGCTCTGTGGGTAAAGACATCTATACAAATGAAAGAAGAGCTCACTACACAGCCAGGAAACCAAGTGGTGGCTCAAACAGGAGCTTTTTCCAGACTGGCGTCTTGCTGTGCACCCTGGAAAGCGCAAAACTGATTTCCAGCTTCAAAGAACACTCGATTCAGTTTATTGCAAGTAGTTGCTAACTAACACCATTCTAAAAACACCAGCTAATGGAAATCCGGACAGGTCTTTTAGCAGTGTACAACATTATCAGAAACTGCTGCTGGGCACACGGGAAGCGGGTCCCTGCTGTGCAGGAGCAGACTGGAGGTTAAACACAGGGCATGTGTGACCAACACTCGGGGGTAGTCACTGTGGCAGAGCACCCAGAAATTCTCCCTTCACTGTGACTGACAACAGTAATTGCTAACACACTTTTCACTGAAGGTGCCCAGGAGTTGTTTCCCACACTTTAAGGAAAAAAAAAAAAAATGCATTTTTAAACTCCCTTTGGAAGACTTAGTAAGCAATTGTGCTGAAGTGATGACCTCTTTTCTCAGCAGGATTAAGACAAGTTTAGGAAACGGAAGTAATGTGAGGAAATGGCTTAAAGGGGGAAGGGGGAAGAAATGAGACTGAAATAACATTTATTCTCTTTCCAGTGATTTTGGAAGCACCAGAGAAAGCCGACAGAAGGGTTCGAAAGAAGGCCCCTTGGAACAGTCCCTGGGAAAGCCAGGGGTCAGTGACAAGAAATCACACCACACTGGTAGTCAGCAATTTTCATTTACAAAATCAGTTTTCCCTGGGGAAAAAACAAAACAAAATAAACACAGAAATCCAGTTGCAACAGATAATTCAATGTCTGACAGCTTAGTCGTTTGTAATCTGAACTTCAAAGTTACTCCTTGTTATTGACATGGAGTCCTCCCCATTACGCAGATAAACTGATTCCTCACCTTCAGTTCCATTTCCTTTGCTATTGCGTAAAAATGTCATTTTGGAGAGGAAGGCTAAAATACATTTCCATTACTCGAGTTAAGGTTTATTGGAACAGTCTGGTTAGCAAATCTAGCAGAAACTAAGTGAGCTCCCAAGGAATTAAATCCTTTCCACTGTGGCAGAGCTTACCCGCGATGAGCTATAGCTCACAGTAGAGAGCTCTGTGGAAGACCGTGCCTATGAGCAGTTTTCCCTTGTAGATGGATGCCACTGAGCTGCCCTGCAGCACGGAGCCGTTGTCGGCGTAGGGGCGCGTCACCACAGGCTCCTCTGAGAGGATGTTCTGGATGCGCAGGACCTGCCGGAGAAGGGGGATACAGCTGCTGAAACCATCACGGGTGAAAATCCTCCACAGACAGAGGGAACATCAGTATGTTAGCTTAAACAAATTAGGTTGATCAGCTGCTGCTAACTGCAACCAAGTGATTCCTGTGATAGGGCCACAAATTGGTCCTCCAGTCCTGAAGACTGATTTTTTTTTTTTTTTTTAAAGTGGTTTTGCAACAGAGACTCCACCTCAGTAAGTAAGGCAGTCATCCCCAGCACTGGGAACATGCAGTTTTTTCCAGCCTAAAAGTTTCTTAATGTCTTTCATTTTCATCCTTTTTTCCAGACAAACAACTGCCTAGTATCATAAATCTACTGCTACTGAACATAATAATTTTGAAAAGTGTCTTATGAGGAGCTTCAGACAAGGCTGAAATCAAGCGGACACAAACCAGCCACCTGCATTCGCAGCCACTAGTGCGCTGATGCCAGTACTTCATTGATTTCAGAAGGGAAGAAGAATTACAGTGTCACCTACTGATGAACCACACTTGCACAGATAAATCATTCCAGTGCTAACGTTTCTGGTCATGCTTTGAACTCAGTCAATTATTTTTTTGTTTGGCAAAGAGGTGCTGGCTCGGTAATTAACACAGTTCATCAAAAGCTGATTGCACAGCCACAGCTGTACAGAAAGCAGCCTGAGAAGTCCAGAATGACTGAGCTACTGGGTGGAAATTATTCAGTTGCCTCCTAGGGATCTGAATAGGTGTTTGTTAGTGAGTATATGCTGTTCAGGCTTTCCACTCAAGAGCAGAAGCTGGAAGCCAGCTTGGTCTTTGCTTTTACAGAGGCTGGCCAGGTGCTTGTCTATGTGATGCAGAATTAAGTTATAGCAGGGTGATTTGAACTGAGCAACGTTCTGGCACAGACATAGCCAAGAAACCAGTGACGTCTCCCAAAATGCACCTCAGAGGCAGGCAGATTTTCAGGATCATTGTAGAACAGCTTCATCCCATTGGGATGACATCCTATCCAGATGTCTCCAGTGTAAGGGTCAATAGACAAGTTATCGACCAGAGTGTCCAGCTGCAGCGTCTATCCAACACAGAGGAAAAACAAGAGAGAAGTTAAAGCTATCAGAAGTCCTGGAAGCAAACTATAGCATAACCAATAGACTTGTCCAAGACTCTAATCTGACACAGACCAATTTTTTAAGGAATATTTTCTCCCACAGTGCTATTTTTCTTTTCTCTCGGTATGCTTCATCCCCCTCCTCTATGCTGTAAGAAACCTGCTTGCTGCTTTGAGCCTCCCCCATGGGCTCATTCACACCTAGGCCAGTGCTGACTGCTTCAGTACTGCGTGGTCTGACCCACACTGACAGGAGCAGGCTTCCGCCGCGGCTCTACAGCACACTGGAGCATCCCCCTCTGCTGATGTGAGGGTGAAAGACCTGAAGCTCCAAAACAGGGCACACAGCACCTCTGAAAACCCACAGCAGGAGCCACCCAGACCAGAACTTCACACATGATCAGGTTGAAATCTCAAGCATTCATGGGGACTACTAATCTGTCCAAAATTGCTTTTTTATGGAACAGCAGCACCTTACCTTCACATGCGTTAAATTCCAATTAGCATGTTTTTCCATAACATGGACATTATGATCAAACACATCTGCAACGTAGATGTACCTTCAAAAGAGAGCACCTCTTAGCAATGTGTACGAGTAAGCAGACACCAAGAACAGCCAGTTCCTCCTGTGCCAGCGCCGCTCTTCCCGTGAGGAGTGCCAGCGCACAATTCTCACACAGCAGCAGACATTGCAAACGGGCCACAGGGCACTGGACTGAAGCCAACCCGCTGAGACGCTAATGTAGCTTCACACTGTGCCAGTTCTTCCATTACAACACTGAAGCAGGCCTTGGATTGGGAGATCCACAGATACGCTTTTTTTTTTTTTTTTTTTTTACTATTTAAGATAACCAGTCCTGTGGTGTAGACAGGTTAACTCAGTCATGCAGACTTTAAGATTGTAGAGCATTCCCCACTTGCAGAAATCCTGTCTCATTAATCCTTGCAAACAATATACACAAACTTCTGTATCGGCTTGTTAAAATGCAGCAACCTTTGATCTTATTGCATATAAACTACCACACAAAGCAGCAAACATTGCCTGTAGTTAAAGATCGAGACACCTGATTTCTGTTTGACAAACACTCCAGATGTCTTAGTACAGGTTGCCTTACACGAGCCAGTTTAGACACCTACCACAGAAGTACCACGTGTACAAATTAGGATTTTGGGATTCTTTTGTGTGACCAAACAAAACCTAAGGCAAGGAGAAACTTACTTTCTGTCAGGTGAAATGTTAATTCCATTGGCTGAATAAAACCCAGCTGCTACTTCTTTAACTTCTTCTGGACTGTAGTAAACAACATTTGACCAAGTTAAACCCAAGAACATCTCCAGGAACATCAAGATGAAGTCGGAGAAGTAGTGGTCATTGGTAGCATAGAAGCTGTCTGGTCCCACAGCTACTATATCATTCACACTAAAAAAAAAAATAAAATAAAATAAATAGAGAGGGAGCAAGGGAGCAAAGTAAATAGAAGAATGAAATGAGAGGTATTAAGGAGCACGTAGGACTGCCCAGAAGCTGGGCAGGACACGGCCAGCCCACAGACATAAAGGGGCTGCAATTACAGATGGTATTTCAGAGAGACACGGAGTTATTTAGATCCTCTTTACTTCTATTTTCTTTTATATGAGGCAGGACTGCGCAGTGCTGAGACCTGCATGGCTGAGACCATACAGCATCAGCTGGAGATCTGGCTACCTGTCCATAAGGCCACAGAAATTTTTCCTCTCTTTTAATTACATTCAACTGGAAATCAGAGAGCAGGTAGGAGTTCTGACAACTTTATGAATCAGGCTCTGTTCATCTTACAATCATTTTGCAGTAGGACTGACCAAGAAAAATTTGTATGCAACAAAAAAAAATAGAAAAAGCTAAAAGTATGTTTATTTTTACAGTGTATGAAATTCAGGATAATAGAATATCTGAAGATTCATATCTGCAATGACCTGAGAGCAGGTTACATGAGAGAAGGAGAAACAGATGCTAATTTAGTAGCATCAATCACTGGGGCACCTAAGACTGATTTAGTGATATAACTGTTAAAATCTAATTTACAGAAGAAATTGGAGAAACAGTTTTTGATTACACAGACAAAAAGTAATCAATAAGAGAAACAGGAAAGCTGGTTAAAGAGAAAGTATCTCATATTAATAATACCCTAAAATCAAGATCATCCTGCTTTGGATTTTACCAAATCAGCCTGTTCTTCTGGTAGAAGATGGTATTTGGCTCCAATACCTTGTCAGAAGGTCGTGTCGAATGGTTTTCAGGTGTACAAGAGAATTGTCATCTTCTACAAATTTAAACAATTCTACTGTGCTCTTCTGATGGGGATGGTTCACAACAAAGAGGTACACGGTGTCATCTTGAAAAAAAAGAAATGGAAACAGCTGAATTCTCTGCAACAGTTTGCGTGGCTGAGCACACACAGCTCTGAAGCAGCCTCTAGTACTGAGGACATGTTGGGTTCAGTGAATTTGTCTCATGGCTCTTCAGAGGCAGGATAAATACCAAAGTAATGCAGGATGCCACTGCAACTGGATCCAGATCTCCAACTACTCCTCCTGCGCTCGCTTTGCAGGGAACTGATGTATAAACTACATTTTTGCTATTTCTACCAAGGAACAAAGAAATTGTGGGTTCATACTTGTACCCAAGCCCCTGGGTTTTGCAATCTGATGCACTACAGTGACTGGTTGCATGAGATAGCCACAGTCAGCTAGGAAGGAGACCTTGTAGCCCAGCCAGTCTGGGCTCTTTGGTTTACTTACTGCAATCCCTGAGAAAACTGAGGCAGAACCATTTTCCTGTAGTCTGTGTAAGGCTGCAGTTCTTCTGCCCAGTCCTTCTGGTGAGACCCTAAATTAGCCACCACTGATTTCTCTAACACCTCTCCTTAAAGGGGGACTGTATGAGGACACAAGTCAAGCTGCAGCAATGGTTCTCTTTTTCTTAATATTTGCAGACTTCTAACTGACCTGCTAAAATCCCCAGGGAAATGACAGGGAAAAAGAGAGGAAGGAGATCATGAAGGGTATTTTATTGGTAGTCAGACCCTGCTGTAGAAGAACATGTGTTGCAGAGGAGAACATGGCTTGGCCACAGAGTAGCAGAGATTTTGGTCATTTATGGAGATTTGATAATTTACTGTGTAGTCACAAAAGTCTCCATTCACTACTAGTTGGTGAAGTGTGTGGCTCCTCAAAAGCCTTGACCCCAGGGTAACACAGATGTAAATCGGTAAAATACACTTTGCGTAGTTTTCAACTCCTCAGACTTTTCCCATGTTTTCTTTCCTTTCAATTTAGCGGACATCTTTCTGTCTCAGGCAGCCTGAGATTATGTGCAAAGGTGTTTGCTTTAGCAGCTGACATTTTGAAAAGAACCCAACAAAGATAAAAGCCCCAAAAACTTTTTCTTTCCTAGCAAGCGCAGGCTATTGGGGGTGCGATGCAAGGCTGCAAAAGGATTTCTGTTTGTGCTCTTTAGGCTGATATTTGCCACCACCTCGAGTTAAAGATCTCCTTACATTTGTCTACATAGGTGCTGATTCCATGAGGGTTGAACGACGCCAGATCAAACCCTCGGCTGATTCTCAGTTCCACTGCTCTGGGATTGTCTTCATTCACATCCATCAAAAATATTTCGCCTGGCTTGTCTGGTGCAAGGCTCTTGATTCCTGGATATTTCAAGCCCTGTAAAATCAAGACATGAGGAAATCATTCCTGGGTCAAGGGAAGCATCACAGGGCCGAAAGCGCTGGAGCAGGCTGCGGGGCGGGCACGGGGGGGCCCTGCCCAAGGCACTGCCGCTCCCCCCGGCATCGCTGCTCCCCGTATGCCAACCCACTCTGCGAACAGACACACGGTGGGAACAAACTGGGAGTGCAGCCCCACCGACTGCACCCAAGGTGGTGAGGCCACGAGGAACAGCAGCAGTGCGACAGCTCGTGATTTCTGGCATGAATTTTGCAACGTTATCACTCCCCGGATGTCCCTGGAGCACGTAGATGAAAACATCAGCTTTTGTTTTAGAAAATAATTGCTAGGCATCCCAACTGCACAGAAAAGCTTGAAAACCTATGTCCTAAAGGCTGAAAAAAAAAAAAAAATCAGGAACAACAAAATCAACACACAAAATCAGATTTTCTTTTAAAGATAGGGAATAACACACCTTCTTAACAAGGGAGAGGTTTAACATTCTGACATTTCAACATTTCAAGGAAGCAGAATGAAAAATTCAAGGTTACATGGGTAGATAACCCAGCACAATGGGATACACGTGTCAGAGCCACCACCACCACTTCAGTGTCAAGAAGTTCACTTGCTCAAGCAGAAGGACATGCCGGCTAAGCCAACACAAGTCTGAGCCATTCCTATGGAGCCAGCCAGCCTTGTAGAAAAAGGAGTTTATCCTGTAATTTTCACCTATGGCTCCTGTAGATAAGGAAGCAGGCAAGCTCCTGCATGGGGAGGGGGCAGGAGCACTTACGGAGCTGATGAAAGCCAGTCCATTGGGAAGTATGTCGATGTCTTCTGAACCAGTTTCTGCAAGTCAGAGATAAATAGGGATTTTCAGATGACATTAAATATTCCCCATCGAAAATCTTCCTTTTTAGTACAATTCCAACTCTCATGAATGTCCCTTTCCAAGCAATGAACTTCAGCAGAAAAGTTCTCATCTCATTAAAAGTGCTAGCAGAAGGCAGCAGCACGCCAGGTTAGGAACTAGTACTGGGGTTCACCTCTTTCTGGGGGGGTTAGGGGTGCCCCAGCAGCGGCCGGGCAGTCTCCTGCCCAGCTCCGTGTGCCCCAGGGAGGCGTGGGATGAATCACCCACTTCAGAGATTAGTGTTCTGCAGCACGCAATCAGCACAGATCATGAGATTTTTTCAGGGCAGGACCGTACCCATCACTCAGCCCACAGGCTTGCATAAGGCAGCTCTGGGAACTGCACACACTCATTCTCCTGGCTGAGCTGGGACACTTCACTAAGATGGATTGCCAACTATTTAGTTAAAGCTCTCAAGTGACAGAGAACCTACTAGATCTTTAATAGCTAAGGGTTTTAATAGTTAGACCACAGTTTTAACTGCAGGCAAGCATTTCAAATATTGCCAGATCCTGTATTTCCTGTAATATATTTCCCTGCTAGGAAAATACAATAAAATACAATAAAATCCCTTTAGTAAGAACACTAGAGCAATTTTAGGCTTTGATCAAGCACTCTCCATATAGCTTTTAGTCTGATGCTAAAGAACATTTGCTATCCCACATTTTCACTGCTCTCCTGAGAAGCCTCCCCTCTCTTCCCCAAATCACCAGCACAAACAGCATTCCCCACAAGCCACTTTCCAGATGATGGCTGGATTAAACCCACCCAGGAGCGTTTGCTTAAAGGAGGAAATCGTTCTGCAGGTTTTCTTTAACAGAGGCACCAACACAAAGGTTTTCCACCCAGGTTGTCCCATCTCTCTGCATCCCCTCCTGCTCGGCCACAGACCACCCCACATGGGTCATACCGTCCCTGGCACCTCAGCACCTCCTCCCGACAAAGCACCTGCAAATTCAGGCTGGGTTTATTGACTGCTTTTACATAACTCCTATTTATCCTGGCACTAATTCGGCTGGGCTGTAATTTATCCTGGAGCTGCTGAAGAACCCTTGTGGGGAGCAACCAGATCCCCAAGTTCACCCATCCAGAAAAGTTTCTCCCCATCTCAGCCCTGGGGAGACGCAGTGGCATGACTTCTCCCTCAGGGACAGGGCACAGGGACAGGGCCAGCTCCTCCACAGCCTCAGTGAGCCTCTGCTCTACTCCATTACACTAATGAGAGAGGCATCCCTGTCTTCCGAAGAGCAAAAGGTCTGAAGATGCATTTTTAGGGGAGCCACCCTGTTATCCCACCCCCTGGGTTTTGGTTCTGAATTTTAGCTGGGCTCAGGCAGGAGGCAGACATCAGCACCAATGTGCCCAGAGACATTTACAGCCTATGTTCTCCAACTAAAGTTTTGATTGTGTTTTTTTTTTTCAGCTCAGCTCACGACCTAGTTTAAGCAACAATCTCCTTTTCTTTGCCTTAGCTCTCGGTCTCTCCGAGTCTGGGCTTATTTATAAAATGGGGTTAGCAGTGATTTCCCACTTCAACTTCCCCAACTGCAACATAAATAATCAGCATAAATAAATGCTGAGAGGTTCAATTACCATGGTGACATGAGCTGGACAGACAGCTTTTACTGGCAGAGCACGTGGGTAAGTGAATAAACAGAGATATAATCATTTATCGCTACTGAATTAGTGAGGCTGCCAGGCAGAAAGATGAGCAGGCTAATTGGGAGCAGATAATTAAAAAGTACAAGTTGCTGGTGGAAGAAGGATAAGGAGAGCTCCGCATCCAACTACTTTGAAAGAAACTGCCCAGCAAAGCACATTTTGGCCACTTCTCAGCCAGGACCTGGTACGTATAGAGCAGAGCAAGCACTGTTGGAAGAGCAACAAAATGCTGATTCAGCACAATCCTGCTGAGCTGGGACCACCAAGGTGGCAAGGAGGAGATGGAGACACACAGCTGGGCACGGGGAAGCTCCTGAGCTCTCCCCGGGGGCCCCATTTTGGGAGGGCTCTGGGCTGTTGTCACAGGCTCTGTATGCGACAGGAAAGTTAGGAACTGATTTATTAGCTAACAGCCACCTCCACTATATTGCTTAATTGTACCACCAAACCCAGCCCATCCGTAGAATTATCTGAATAGGCAGCATTTAAAAAAAATTAAAGATACTGAGAAAAATTACTGCCTAACCTAGAAATGTTTTTGTTGTCTTTGTTCTTTAGTTTATCTTTGTATGAAGTATTCTGCAGGTACACCTAATAAAAAAAAAAAAAAAAAACAAACAAAAAAAAAAACAAAAACAAACAAAAAAAAAAAACTGGATTTCATGTCCAAAAGCAAGTGACTAGTTTGCCTATAACCCATGAATTATTCCAAGATGCAAGTATTTCTAGCAATCTCTATAGTAGCTTCTTGAACTTTAGGAATAAGTTCAGGACATACGGTTAGTTTATTATAAACCAGTAACATGAGTAGACACTCATATAATTCAAAAGATACTGTTTACTCTACAACTCTAGCCTTTTCTACATATCTGTGAATGACGTTTAGGACAAGCTGCTGTTTTTTACTGGTTTGTTCAACGTTTGCATCTGTGCTTACATTGCACAATATTTGACAAACAGAATAGACCAAGGTCTTAAAAAAAAGAGAGAGAGACAGAAAAGATGAAATTGTGTAGAAAGAAAAGGGTCCACTAGGAAACTTTTCCACTTACTCTGGATTTTCTTCCTTTACTACAGATGCATTGCTTTTAACATAATTACAACAGACTGTACCAGATGCCTGTTCTTCCATGGACAGAATAGTTTAAGATAATTTTGTTCAGAGATGATCCAGCTCATTACCTATGCCACTTAAGAGGCCAGAACTATTTTAAATATTAAAATAAAGAGTGTTTATTCAACTTTGTCATAGTATTTTAAAGGAAGAATGCCTATCAGGACCAGTATGTCCATGGAGAAAGATCCTTACACAAAGTCACCCACAAGAGCACCCTGACAGAGCAGAATACTGCAAAAGCCCTTGTCTGAATAGTGCTACGCAGGCAGCATCTAAACTTTAGGCTTCTTGGTCCCCAAGTAATACATACACACACACAGAGTCATATTAAATTAACTTTGGAAAATGTTTGTGGGAACATACGAACTTTTAAATTTGCACCAATCCTTTTTTATTTCTATTCCTGCCACATTGGACCTGCTGAGTTAAGTTTTGGCATTTTAATTTTTCTACAGAGCAGCAAATGGCAGAGCAAAGCTAAGGCGAGGTGTAGAGCTCCGTGTGAAGAGACAGTGTTACAGGAGAACAGAGAGAAGCAGAAATGAAGCTCAGTAAATTGATCTGCCGCTGCCTCTGAGCAGAGCCGGGTTCTCAGAATTCACCTAATCTCTATGTAAATGTCAGGCACCAAAAATGAGATATTGTTCAGAAATTAAACACAACTGTATTTGGAATTTCTAGTTTTTCTTCTTTCCTCAACAGGGCAATCATGTTGCAAAAAGTCTTGTAAAGATTACAGTGGTGATATGCTCAAAAGAATTACTCAGAAATTATTTTTATATTAATCGCCATCAAACAAGCATTATTCAGAGTCTTGTATGAGTAGAGTACAGCTCAATCTAGAAGATCTGGGGAGTGTTTTCAAATGCAATTTTTCTGCACATAACCTCAGCCAAAGCAACTCTGCACAAACTCATTCATGGCAGTAATTTGACTTTACAAAGCTGTTTGATTCCTGACACAAGAAACAAAATTTATGAAATCAGCACAGTGACTCAGTAAGCTCAAAGGCAAAGCTCTTAAAGCTCATCTAATGACTTTTCACACATACAAACTCCAGGCAAATTTCAACAGAATTCAAGACATTTCCAAAAATACTAAGGAAGAGAAAACCCCCAGACATTAAGCCTGGATGAAGTTTAAAAGTTACAATTTGAGGGAGAGGGAGACACAAAAATGCGATCAATTTTAAAGCTATCCATTTTATATTCTGGTCATCCTAAAAGGAGAGAAAAAAACAACAGAAATATTGCTGTGTGCTAAACACGTGACCCAAAGTACAAAGTCAACATTTCCGCCACAGTGTTAAACCTCTTTGCAAACCAGACTAAAATGACAAATATGACCCTTTGCTCTTTGAAACCACAGGGCTGAATTGCCCAACCACACCAAGCTCCCGCCTGCTGTTTGCACAGGTCAGTACCAGCCCACTCTTAAACTCCTAAATCTCAGCAAAACGAGGGGCTAAGGTGGGCAACCCTGCCTGATGTTTAGCAGCTGCTCCTTCGCCACAAGCCTGTGGCCTTCTCCCAAAGCTCCCACCCTTGCAGCATGTCCTATCTTCAAGCTGTCACCAGCTGACAGCCACCAGTAGGTACCTGCCTGAAGAGCCAGCACACCCTCATCTAAAAGCCAAGTCATTTCCTAAGTGGCTTATCGAAGGAGAAGTGTTTGCAAGGTACTCATTTTCAAGAAAAGGAATAGAAACATTAAATAGCAAAGGCAAAAAGTATTATACCAAACTAGCTAGTTTTTCAGTATAATTTCCTTCCTACAGTTTCTCCCTACCTCAAAATCCAAGTAACAAATGAAAGTCAAATTAGCACTTTGTTTTGGGGATAAAGCTTGGAAGCTGGCTTTAAGAAGCAGTTGCAAAGTAAGGCTGGACAAAAGTGATTCACTCAGTTATTTTGAGCACGTACCGATCCCTTTAATGAGCTGGCAGTTCGGGAGGTTTACTGGGGATATTTCCCGTGAAGCATTGAGTCTGTTCCTGCAAGAGGAAAAAGTAGGGTTAACAGCACACAGCCAGTTTTAAAACAGGTAACGTTCCTAGCATAGCTTTATCTTAGTTTTATTGTCTGCCATATCACAACAACAGATCAGCCGTAAAACACTGAATAAGCAAAACCCAGAACTGACAACAGCAATTGCTCTAAATCACTGCGATGGTTACACATGTCCAGAAATTAAGTGATTCTCCCACACTAAATAACTTCAGGAACTTGACTTTGTTCATGAGCTTCAGAAGCAAGCTTTCATGACCCACAGCAGCTCAAATGATAAAATAACACAGCCACACTTTCTTCAGGTTTCAGCCACCTAAATATAGTAGCACCCTGCAGTTTGAACCAGCGTTTCAGATGAGGAGAGGGCGGCCTTCTACCCCAGCCCACCAGCTATTTTCAGTGACCAGGCCACCAGCTCTTTCTTAATTTCTTAGTTCACATTCAAAGGTAGCGATAGCGTTGTTGCAAGGCAGGGCTACCCATTTCCTAACAACAGGTAGGACTTGGTAGTACGATTTTCAGCAATTAGACTGTCCTTTCCTCTTCTCTCCCGGTACCCATGCAGAGTATTATCCTGCAGCAGTGCTTATTTCATTCCTGAATGCCCACAAAATTTGATCAGTGCCTCATACTTTACTGGACAAGCAAATACAGACCATGTTGGTTTGCAGTGCCGTAAGAAAATACGTTGTGTTTCTATGTAAAAATGTCAAGCTAGCATACTAGAATATTTCTTCCTTTTTTTTTTCCTTTTTTTTTTTCTTTTTCCCAAAAGAAATCATTTAAAATAACATAATTACTACTTTGTATGCCAATCATATGTACATATTGAGGTTCTACTTGCTCCAACCACAGGAAATTCTGAATGCAAAGATCCCATAGCAAAACCTAGCCGTGTTTATGTTATAGTGTAGGCATAAACATAAACTAAACAGCAGTATCAGTCTGTGGTATGAAAAATATGTGATACAGCTGAGCAACATATGGTATCTCAGTCCTGCATTTTTTTAATCACTCAATTATGAATTGTAAATAGCTTCAATGATGTATCATTGACACAGGTTGTTAACATAAAGCCAGAAAAAAAAAAAAAAAAAAAAAAAGGTAAAAAGGGCAGAGGACAAGAAGGGAAAGGAGCCAAGTTAAACTCTCCCAAGCCCTCTCCCCCAGCTCAGGAGTTCTGACAGAGAATTACACTGGCTCCCAGCCCACAGCAGCATAGGAGGGATATCAGCTCCCCCCTCACCCCCAGCATAGCCAAACTACTGGCCCCCAAGGCTGGCTCGGGGCGACCATGCCCAGAGTTTGCACTGCTGCCTGCTTAGGGCTTTTCCCTTTCCTCCTTGCATCAGCTTTCCCGGGGCAGACTGCAAGCCACCCAGTGCCAAAAGCACAGCAGGAATTCCACCAGCAGCCAATGAGGGATGATGGTATCCTGACACCATTCCCAGGGAAACACTTCATGGGCTGGAATGAGAGTAATTCAGAAGGACACTGGTCCCAAGCCTGCAGCACATATAGAAGCTTTTCCAAAATGTGTCAGTTTATCTGGCTCAGACAGCCGTAGCTACGAAGCCAGATGGCCTAGATAACTAACTGGCCATACTGAAAACACAGTGGACCTGCAAACTGTGGGGGATGCAACTTTGCAACTTCAAAAAAAAGCAGGAATTTCTCTACTTGGTGCAATGCAGCACACAGCACCTTTTCCCACCCAGTCGCTCTTTCCAGTTTCGGTCTTCCACCCGCTGTCCCACTCCCTGAGACACAGACCTCAGTCATTCCCTTTCTTTCAGCAGCAACCTGTTGCATACCAAAGAACTCTCTTTCAATTTTCCTCTTTCTAACCAGTCCCAGATCTTTGGGGTTTTTTTTCCTGACAGGACTGAAAATCACCTCTTATTTTTGCTTTTGCTCCAAATTCTTTTCAAACTGCCAGCATCCTTCTGGAAGCACACTGCTGTTTTGAACACAGTATGCAAGCTGAGCACTGTATCAGTACAGAGCATTATGAAATTATAACACTGTGTGTGCATATACATAAATATATATATATGAACTATAATATCACATGCATATTGTTTGGGGGAAAACAGTAACATAGTACAATTTACATTCAAGTTTTACAAATTAGTTCAGACCTTTCTTCAGAGAAGAATTAGCAATTTCAAATGTCAATAGGGAATCAGTGTAATTTCAGTTGGTGACACACAAGAACTTCATCTGTTTTCTGCTGCACAAACCCTATTCAAGTCCATTTCATAGCTATCAAGAGTATAATAGATGCATAGACAAATCTGAGTTAAGAATTAAGTTTTAAAGAGTTTTTAAATAATTATTCATGCTTTATCTTTTAAGCATTTAATGTATTCTTGTGTCATACTATCTGGACACAATATACCAAACTCAGAAGGAACAGCAAAAAGTCTTTGCTGGATTCCTACCTTCTGGGTGGGGGATAGATAACAGAGAGGCCTGGCAAGAGTTAACACTACCCACAGTTTCTCCTCTCAAGGCTGTATTAAATTATTTTAGAGTACTTTGTTATCTGAAGTTGTGTGTTTCCAAACTCTGCAACCATCTTAAGACTGCTGCTATGCTGCAGTTTGCTGAAAACACAGCACACAGGAAAAACCCCCAGAGAGCTACAGAGATGGGGGGGTCGTGTTCCTGTCAGGAGACTCTACTTTACCAGATTCCCCATATTGCATTTGCTCATTCAATCTGGATGGGATGTGAGGTCCCCTGCTCATCACAGTGCTTTGAAATGGCTCACCCCACTAAAGCCCAGGAGACTTTTCCAGCTCCCCCATCCCAGTTTGTGCAGCTCCAGGGCAGGAGGGTCCTGTTACCGCCCTGGTTAGCACTAACACTTGAGGGGGATATAGTGCAAGATACAAACTCACCTACACAAGGTATCTCAGTCCAGGGAGTATAGCCCTCCTTCTGTAATTAGCTACAATTACCGTCTACCCAATGATCAATTAGCTGGATGTCCTTGCTTTGAAGGCATGTATTTGGAGTCCTTCTGGACATGAGCAAAATTATAACCGCCTAGCTGCCTTGCAACATAGTAATTCACCATCGTTTTTGTGGACTGAAACAACCAGCTATGTGCTCAGTAGCTCTCAGGACAGAAGCTGCTGTAACACTCGCATTCGCATTCACACCTCATGATATAAGGTGTATGACACGGAGCATGATACGGCTGAGTATTTTAGCTCACAGCGAGTCAGGTCCCAACTTAGGATCACAGAAGTCTGTGCTCCTTCAGAGGAAACCTTATGTAGCAAGGACTATTGTTATCCAGAGGTCAGCTTCGGTAGAAAATAACACAAGTTTCTGGCAACCTGATTTCCACCTACTGTTTGGCCAGTCAGCAGGAGATGTAAACTCGCAGATACCGGATTTGGCACATCCCTGTTAGCTGCAGCCTCTGCAAAAACAGAGGTACCAGCCCCACAGCCCCAGGGCACCCTGTCCCTTTGGCCCCAGCACCTTCCCGGCGAGGATTTCACATCCCCCTTACTGCAAACGGCATTCCCGCTGGATAAACGCTCCTGAAGTTAGTTTATGCCTGGTGAAGGATGAGACGGGCGCTGCCGGGCAAGCCAGTGCCTAGTTTTTCTCTGGGTAAAACCGGTTCCCTTGATAACGACGGTGTTAGTTATGACGATGACGACCACCCCTTCCCCCCCCGGCCGCGCCCGTGCAAAGCCTCGCTCAACTTACGCCCCGGAGATGGAGCCGAAGCGCCTGGGCGCTCGGAGGGGCGCACCGGCCGCCCCTGCCCCTCGGCGGGCCCGGCCCGGCCCCATCCCGCACCGGCAGCTCCGAGGCCCCGCCGCCCCCCCCGGCCCGCGCTCGCCGGGCGGCTCACCGAAAAGCCAGCAGCCGCTCCACCGCCAAGGCTGCCGCTATCCCCACCAGAGCCACCGCCAGCAGCTTCCCCATGGCCGCTCCCCGCTCCGCTCCCCGCTCCCGCCTCCGCCGCGTCCCGCCCCGCCGGGCCGGGCCGGGCCGGGCCGCCCCCGGGCACGGCGCCCCACACACCCGCCGCCAGCACCCCCCGCCCCATCAGCGAGCGCGGCGGAAAACGCGGGGCTTTCCCTGCGAGCACGGCGCCGTCAGCCCCCGGCAACAAGCCGTAGGGGCAGGGGGAGAAGGGTGGAAGGAGCCCGGGTCAGCGCCGCTCTGCAGGCGCCGTGTTACAGTACCTGTGTGAGAGGCAGGCGGACCAAGTTCCAGATACTGTTATTAAAAAAAAAAAAAAAAAAAAAAAGTGTTGTATAAAAATAAGTGTGCTAGACAAACACTGCACGATGCAGAAAGTACAAGTGCTCCACGTACACCTTTATACTGAGATATGCACGCTCTTATGTGCGCACTAATACCAAAGTTTCCCCCTCAGGAACGATGCTTGCTCTCACTGCCACGCTCCCACCAACAGCTTGGTTTTCCACGCAGAAAGGAGACAGAACCCACCTTCAGGGCTCTGGGGTTCCTCCATGCAGCAATCTGCTTTTGCATCAGCTGCAGCATTGGCCTCCCTGTGCTTTCTGCTTTTTCGGGGAACATGCCTTGGCAGGTCAACACCCTCCCTCAGCAGTTATCTTTCCCTTTTCTGCACGGTGAATGCCCCCCCACCTGCAAGGCTCACATGCCTTTGCACTTTTCTGAAAGACTGAGAAATCACTAAAAAGTGCTTCTCTGCTCTTCTTGCCCTTGCCCTGGAGGCCAAGCAGGTGCTCCACACTTAGTAACACTTCAAGTGTGCTGCGGAGGAGGAGGCACTCTCAATTATCTTTCCCCTCCGTTTTGGAATACCTCTTTTCCTCTTTCTGATCCTTGTTGGCTTTGCAACCATAGGTGCGAAGAAGGGGGAGCTGGGCGGAGGGAGGGTGAGAGACTGAAAGAGTTAATGTCTCAAACATTGTGACTGCATAGTCAGGGTGAACAGCAGGTGGGTGGGAAGTGGGTGGGTGTGGGACGTGGGGGGCTGTGCTGGGGGGTGTGCAGTTCTGTGTTGCTGGGCAAGACGACTCACAAAGTTTGTTTGAGGAAGGGGCCGACGACCACCCAAAAAACCTTGTGACCAACCCCCCCAGGGGTGCCTGTGCAAAAGACTGAGAGTTATACAAGCTGCAGAGGTGTTGGAGAGCCATATAAGTCTTCAAAGGGGTGTGACTGGTGCCATCGAAAGGCAGGGATTAGCACCCCAACACCACTCCCCCCTTCTCACCTCACATGTAAATGAGCAGCAGAGAACCTGCTCCCACTCACCTCGCATGCAAATGAGCCAACCTATTTAAGAACCAGCAGGCTGTATCTCGGTGTGCACCCAGCATCATCGCTGACAGATCAGGAACTGGATCAGAGACATCACTAGAACCCAGAGTGGTGATCTGGATCACTCTTCTTCTCTCTCTCCTATGTTACAGGCTGTTCAGCCCTTCACAGAACAACAGAGTTTAATATCTACTGCTGAAAAACTGTTTACAGAGCTTTAACGAGGTTTAATTAGTTTTAAAAGGTTTAATTTGCTTCTGCCATTAAATTTGTTAATTGATTGATTGGTGTTATATCACCTTACTTCAGCTGAAGGCATCTCAAATATCTGAGTGGGTTGACCAGGATGGCTCTCTCCAGCAATAACTGGCCTACCAAGTCCAGCCACCCTAGCCCCTCTAATCTTTGAGGACAGGCTAGAACGCAAGGGGATCCATCTCTTACCAAATTAATTCATCACCTTGAACGCAACAGGGGGAGGGACTTGTTTGGTTTTCGGTTTTTTTGCCTGTGCATACAAATCTCACGGGTGGGGCAGCGGTGTTTAAAGTTTGGGGATATTTGGGATGATAAAATAAAGTTCAGTAGTCACTGCTCAGATCCTAACATTTCATAATGCTGCCAATCTTCCTATAGGCACAGGATTTGCCTCCTATATGAACACATGTACCTTTCAAAAATATATTCCATAGCATAGATAAGATCATGAAACATATTGTGCCTGAATTTGAATATATCATTCAATAGTGCAAAACGGCTTATAGAATGACAGAATCCTTTAGGTTGGAAAAGACATTTAAGATCATCAAGTTCAACCTTTAATGTAGCACTGCCAAGTCCATGACTAAACCATGTCCCTAAGTGCCACATCTATGTGTCTTTTAAATACCTCCAGGGATGGTGACTCAACCATTTCCCTGAGCAGCCTGTCCTGATTGACAACAATTTCAGTGAAGAAATTTTTCCTAATATACAATCTAAACCTCTCCTGGAGCAACTTGAGGCCATTCCCTCTTGTCCTATCGCTTGTCACTTGGGAGAACAGACCAACACCCACCTCGCTGTGGCCTCCTCTCGGGGAGTTGTAGAGAGCGATAAGGTCTCCCCTTGGCCTCCTTTTCTCCAGGCTAAACAACCCCAGTCCCCTCAACTGTTCCTCATGGGACTTGTTCTCTAGACCCCTCACCAGCTTTGTTGCCCATCTCTGGACACGCTCCAGCACCTCAATGTCTTTCTTGTAGTGAGGGGCCCAAAACTGAACCCAGTATTCGAGGTGTGGCCTCACCAGAGCCGGGTACAGGGGGACGATCACTTCCCTAGTGCTGCTGGCCACGCTATTTCTGATACAAGCCAGGGTGCTGTTGGCCTTCCTGGCCACACTGCTTACTCATATTCAGCCGGCTGTCAACCAACACCCCCAGGTCCTTTTCCATGGAGCACTTTTCCAGCCACTCTTCCCCATGCCTTTAGCGCTGCAAGGGGCTGTTGTGACCCGAGTGGAGGACCCGGCACTCAGCCTTGCTGAATCTCACACAGTTGGCCTCAGCCCATCGATCCAGCCTGTCCACATCCCTCTGTAGAGCCTTCCCACCCTCAAGCAGATCAACACTCCTGCCCAACTCAGTGTCATCTGCAAACTTACAGAGCGTGCCCTCAATCCCCTTGTCCAGATCATTGATAAAGATATTAGACAGAATTGACCCCAATACTGAGCCCTGTGGAATCCCACTTGTGACCAGCTGCTGACTGGATTTAACTCCATTCACTACAACTCTTTGGGCTTGGCCATCCAGCCAGTTTTTAACCCAGAGAAGAGTACTTCCCTCCAAGCCATGAGCAGCCAGTTTCTCGAGGAGAATGCTGTGGGAAACAGTGTCAAAGGCATTACTAAAGTCTAGGTAGATAATATCCACAGCCTTTCCCTCACCCACTAAGTGGGTAACCTTGTCATAGAAGGAGATCAGGTTATTCAAGCAGGACCTGCCTTTCATAAACCCATGCTGACTTGGCCTGATCACCTGTATGTTCTGTGTGATGGCACTCAAGATGATCAGCTCTATAACCTTCCCTGGCACCAAAGTATTGACAGGCCTGTAGTTCCCCAGATCCTCCTTCTGGCCCTTGTAGATGGGCATCACATTTGCTAACTTCCGGCCAACTGGGAACTCCCCGGTTCGCTGGGACTGCTGAGAAATGATTGAAAGTGGCTTGGTGAGCACTTCCACCAGCTCTCTCAGTACCATCGAGTGGGGCTCATCCAGCCCCACAGACTTGTGGGTGTCCAAGTGGTGTAACAGGTCAAGAACCATTTCCCATGGCATTATGGGGGCTTCATTCTGTTCTCCATCCCTGCCTTCCAGCTCAGAGGGCTGGGTAGCTGGAGAGCAACTGGTCTTACTATTAAAGACTGGGGCAAAGAAGGTATTCAATACTTAGGCAAGTTTTTGATCCTTTGTCACTGTGTTTCCCCCTACATCTGGTAAAGGATGGAGAGTCTCCTTAGCTCTCCTTTTGTTGCTAATGTATTTACAGAACACTTTTTATTGTCTTTTATAGCAGTAGACAGATTAAGTTCTAGTTGGGCTTTGGCCCTTCTAATTTTCTCACTGCATAACCTCATGACACCCTTGTAGTCCTCCTGAGTTGCCTGTCCCTTCTTCCAAAGGTCATAAATTCTCCATTTTTTTAGTGACTTCCAGCCAAAGCTCTCTGTTCAGTCAGGCTCGTCTTCTTCCCTGCCAGCTCATCTTTTGTCACATGGAGACAGCCTGCTCCTGCGTCTTTAAGATTTTCTTCTTGAAGAATGTCCAGCCTTCCTGGACTGCTTTGCCCTTCAGGACAGCCTCCCAAGGGTCACTGTCAATCAGGCCCCTAAACAGGCCAAAGTCTGCCCTCCAGAAGCCCAAGGTGGCAGTTCTGCTGATCCCCCTCCTTACTTTTCCAAGAATTGAAAACTCTTATCACTTTGTGACTGCTATGCCCAAGACAGCCTCCAACCATCGCATCACCCACAAGTCCTTCTCTGGGCACCTTCCCAACTTGTATCACTCACCAGCTGTGTCAGGAATTAGTCTTCCACACACTCCAGGAACCTCATTGGCTGTTTCCTCTCTGCTGCACTGTATTTCCAGCAGAGAATCGATAAGTTGAAGTTCCCCACAAGAACAAGGGCTAGCGGTTGTGAGACTTCTCCCAGATGCTTATAGAATATTTCACGTGCCTCTTCATCTTGGTTGGGTGGTCTGTAACAGACTCCCACCATGACACCTGCCTTGTCAGACTTCTCCCCAATTCTTACCCATAAACACTCAACCCTATCATCGCCATCATTAAGCTCTAGACAATCAAAACACTCCCTAACATGCAGGGCTACCTCACGGCCTCTCCTTCCTTGCCTGTCCCCTCTGAAGAGTTTATAGCCATCCATTGCAGCACTCCAGTTGTGAGTCATCCCACCACGTTCCTGTGATGGCAACTACATCATAGTTTTCCTGCTGCACAATGGCTTCCAGCTCCTCCTGTCTGTTGCCCATGCTGTGTGCACTGGTGTAGATG